AGGTTGCAGCTCGGTCATACACGCTAAAATCTCGCTTGTCGGCTAAATTTCGGCCAATGTATCCAAAAGCTCGCGCGACACGGGAAAACTTCCTCCAAACAGCACCCACCACTACGTCAGGTCGCAGCCTTGAAACTCTCTGAAAACTCTCCAAATCGAGCGCTATTTCCATCTAAATGGAATCCTCGAACCCCTACAGCAGCCTGAGTACTTGCGTAAGTCCTATTCCCCTCATTATTCGGCTCACTCACTTTTGGGTGGCGCCCCACCAAAAAGTGAGAGCCTGGATATTGTATCCTAATTGTATCTGCAGCAATCCTACATCGATTATCGTACGCTCCATCATTTGCCGCGTTGTGTTCCGGATTGGGTGCAAAAGACAGTACATGTGAGTACATTTAGGATACAATTCCCTAATTTGAGTTTGTACTTAATATTATCCAGGATGGTGTCTGGGACAAAGAGATGCAGCTCTTTGTTGAGAGTGAGGGAAGCGGTGTAGCTGCTCAAGTCGTCCAAGGCTTCGATCCTCCATATGCCGAGTGTTGGTGCCGGGTTAACAATTGTGGGGTAAGTGAGGATTAACTCTGGATACAATCCTTACCTTAAGTAATGTATTCTAATTGTATCTAGCACTTTATCTCTGGTCGTTCTGGTCTACCCAAGCATGTTCGCAAAGCACATGCCCCGCTAATCATCGGAAATCGAGCTGAAGGACGGAAGAAGGCAGCTGAACTCCAGATTGTTAAAGGTATACATTCTAGATACAATTCCCAAATTTTGGTTATGCATTCTAATTGTATCCAGATACGTACAAGGCGATTATGGAGACCATTCGACAGGCAGCAGAGAATGGTGACAAGGATGCTAGGCTTGCTTTGCGTTGGGATCCTGTACGTTTCGCTACTTATAGGATACATTACCGGAATAGCACTAATTGTATCCAGCCGCCGAAAACTCAGAAAGAGATCCACGCAGATGCCCGCGCAGAGAAGAAGCGAGTTGCTGCTGAGAAGAAGGCAGTTAAGGCAGCTGGAGGTGGTACAACTAAGGTAAGATACTTCCTGGATACATTCCCCAAATTGTATTTTAATTGTATCCAGCACAGAAGGAAGGTCAACTTGGAGGACGATGACTATGATCCAGATGAGGACATGGAGGTCAAAGATAGCAAAGTGAGTTAGTTCCGGATACAATTTTCAGATTTGTATCTTAAATGTATCCACGCTCACCTCTTTAGGCGTTTGACCACAAGGCTGGCCGTGTTATTCGCCATGACAATCCTAAAGTAAGTATTATTTGGATATTGTATATGAAATGTATCTAAAAGTCTTAGTCTCCTAACGACCTGTTCACGATCCACGTTGCCAAAGGTGTAGAGATGCCCATGATTCCAGGCAAAACCTTTAAGGTATGTAGATATATTCTGGATACATTACCCAAGTTTGAATACTAATTGTATCCTAGTCACCTAATATCTCGGCCCTGCTTCGCATTATTTCCGTCTATGATGATGGTTACAAATCTCTGTGCGCAAACTGCGGCAAGGTGACCAACACGCGCAGGGCTTATAAGCGTAAGTGTTCTCTGTTTAAGATACAATTCCCTAAATTTTAGGTTATGTATTCTAATTATATCTAGAATGCACTTTTGATGGGGCCTGTGCTGGCCGTGACTACTTCCCTGAGTGGGATGTACCCGCCAACTGGTATACGGGCCCGACTCACAAGGGTATCCTGCGTAGGCACATTCAAGCAGATGAGGAGTAGTTCTGGATACAATTACCAGATATGCATGAAAGGAGCTATGGGAATTTAATTTAGATGCATTACCTAGGGTTTCTTTTTTAAGCAGCTTAAGCTACTTTTTAAGGATAGAGATTTTATTTAGATATAATCTAAAGGATTTTTTAAGCAGCTAAGGCTGCTTTTATAGAAGGTAGATTTATTACAGATACAATACCTCTGCATTAACTTAGGCGTTTTATTAGAATATAATTCTAGAGCTAATAGCTTTCTCTAACCTAGGAAGCAATTTAAATGCAATACTTTGTTTTTAATATTTAGAAAGTAAACTACTTAAAAGCTAAAATTAATATAATATTAAAACTAATTTATATTACTTAATGTCTTAAAAGGATTTTTTAAAGGTTCTAAAAGTAGTTATTTATATAGTTAATGTTTACTTAACTACTTTATCTTTAAATCTAATAATAATTATGTTAAGAATAATACTAATAAGTATAAAATAAAAAGTGTAGGTGTATATTATAATGTTAAACATAATTAAGAATATATTATAGATGCGTTTACATTATATCTAGCTACTTATATCTACTTTTATTATCTACATCTAAGTCCTTTATAGCTAAGCTTATTACTAGATAACGCTCTTTATATTAGATCTTAAGAGCTAGAAGCTTTATTTAGTGTTTTTTAAGCTTAAACTGCTATATATCCTATTTATCTACTGCAGTTAGTAGCCTTAGAAGTGACCCTTGCAACAGGACATAGTGTAGCTTTAAAGGTAAACTAGTTAAGCTAGTAATAAAGTTAGCAATGCATTTAGAATATAATTTAGTTATATCCTACTGCTTCTCTAGAGAAGGGACACATAGAGACAGGGTAGATCTAGAGTAGGTAAGCAATGTATCTAATATGTATCTAATATGTATCTAATATGTATCTAATATGTATCTAATATGTATCTAATATGTATCTAATATGTATCTAATATGTATCTAAAACATACCTTGTTAATTTTAGAACACAAGACAGCAACTTAGCAGACAAGACAGACACTCCACAAGACTTAATTAGTGCCTAAGAGCTTTGTTTAGCTAGCTAACTATAGTAAGCACTACTAGGTATATTACTGCTTAAAGTAGCAGTAAATAGCACTTAGTCTTTACTTTTCTCTATAAGATTAATTTTTTCTATTCCTATAATCTCTTACGCTGCAACACGCTCTAGAATGTATTAAAAATTAATTTTAAATATATTTTAAAAGCTTGCTTACTTTTGCAAAGTATATACTTCTTATACTGCTTATTTATTAAGCAATTACAGTAGGTGTAGGATACACCTTTGTCCTAGGCAGTACACTTCTCTATAATACATTAATTTATAGACTAGGCCCTAATTAGAATGTAATTAGTATGTATTTTAAATTAAATTAAAATGTAATAATAAGTAGAATGTACTTAAAAACTGTAAGTAGAAGATGCTGCTATGTTCTATAAGTGTAAGACACATTTACTGTCTACTTAACACTATTAGTGTGCAGGTGTTGTTAAAGAAAGTTAGAAGTAGAAATATTAGAAAGATTTAGATTTAATCTAGTAGTAATTATAAAGTGTTTTTTATAGCAGGCCTACTGCTAGATTAAATTGCATTTATTCTCTAGAATATAATTAGTAACATTATAAAATGCATAATAACTAAATAAATTTTTAAAACATACTAATTAGTAGATCTAGGATCTAGTAATATTTAGTAGCTAATGCCTCTAGTATAGTAACTATTTAAGCATAAATAAAGTAGCAAGTCTATCTAGGCCTAGCAGCTCTCTTAATACTACGCTTAAAGTAGACGTAGTAGAAGATAAAAAAGTTGCTTTACTTGCCACTTGTAATTATAGCTATACAGATTAATAGACTAAAGCTAATGCATAATACTTGCATATAATTAGTATTTATTCTTATTAGTTTTAGCATAATATAGAATGCATCTTATATCTACTTACTAGCTAGTTGCTTTTTATTTATATTAGTAACTAAAGCTATTAAGCCTTTACTCTGTAAGTATTAGAAGTAGAGTTATTTATTTATTATCTTAAAAATAAGCTTATTAATATGCGCTATTATATGCTAATAAGTAACATGCCTAGCGCTATTAGTAATAATATAAAAATATAGAACATCTAGATACATTAATAATATATCTAAAATGTATATAGATTTATAACTTACTCTTTTTATACTTTTTACTTTATAATACAGCAATAATCTTATTAAAGGCAGTGTTATAAATACATTTAAAAGACATATTAATCTTAAAGAACTTTTATTAGAGTAAAAGTTTAATTTGCTGCTTATAGCAACAGATAATTATAACTCTATTAGTATTATTATAGTAGCTTTAAATATAGCGCTAGATATATTAGAAATGCATTCTAAATGTATTTATAAAATATACTTACCTCTTCTACTAGTAAGAAACGCTGCTAATAATACTTAGCTAGTACACTACAGGTAGTCTTACCTTAGGGATAAGTAAGTAGGCGTTCTTAGTATAAAAGACGCCTAATTTAATTTTTATTTACAAAAGACTAGTAAATTTAAAAAAGAGTAGCTACATAGTAGTTATTATAGAATTAATAAAGCATTAGGCTTTATAAGAACTAGGCTATAGCAGTAAGTTTAGTTCTTAATATATTTTAAATATATATAAAATGTTTTTACTTACTAAGTGTTATGTTAAGTGTAATGTAGTTAGCTATTACTTTTACTAAATAATTAACAACATCCTTTAAAGCACAACTAAAAGAAGAAGGACAACTAATATATATTCTAAATAAAATAAATATTATAATTAGCTTATTAATCTAGTTATTAAAAATAATAAAGTAAAAATAAAGGGCATAGCTGTTATATTAGACTATGTTTTTTTAGCCTTATAAATAGTTAATACCTAGATACATTAAAAGTTAATTTAAAATAAATATATAGCTGTTCTTTAAATAGACTTACTATATATTTAGCACTTTAAGATACTTAGTTTAACAACACTATAGTATTTAAGTGCCTTTTAAAGTACTTTAACACTACGCACTAACCTTTTTAAAAAAGGCTTATTAAAAGTATTAGGTAGAAGCTACTTATAAAAGTGCTTACTATGCTTTTTTAAAGCTGCGCAATAGTTTTTATAGGCTAAGTAGAGAGTTAATCTACTATTTAAGTCTTAGATATATTAAAAACTTATACTAAATATAATAAAAGTGTTATAAAAATGTATTTAAAAGTAGGCTTACTAAAAATCTTAGCTACTTAATTATAAGCTTATAGCTCTTTACTTATAAATTATAAGCTTTATATATGTTAAACTTAGTCTATGCTCTTTAGAAAATTACTATAGATTTACACCTCTTTAAATTTATTTTTAATATATTATTAATTATATAAAGCTTTACATAATAAGCTTACATTAAATCTAAAATCTATTTATATTACATGTTAGATAAGTCTAGATGTAGGTATTCACAGCTACAGAATCCTGTGCACTAATATTTAGCACAAAGGGCATTACACCTAAGGTAGGGTAAGTAGACTAGGTGAAATAGTAAGACAACTTAGCATAAAAATTAGTAACTCTAATATAATAATAATACATTAGTAATAAATTTTTAAAGTATTCTTAAAAAATTAGCTGCTATAAGTACTTTTAACATTAATATAGCTTACTGCTAAGTAGAGTTATTATAATTAAGTACATAAGTGTACTTATTTAGATGTGTATAAGGGTATTTAGGTAGAATCTAGCCACTGTCTATTTTATAGGCAATAATAAGGTTAACACTTTTAGTAAGTGCTAGCTATACATTGTCTTCTTTTTATAATACACTTAAAGTATATTCTAAATAAATAATAAATGTATTTTAAAGCTTACTTACTTATATATTAGGGCCTATAGGCTTAACTTTTAGTAGGGGATAGCTACGCTTTTTAGTAAGGGCCTTGTTCTTATTCTTAATAATAAGGTCCTGCGTATTAATAGCAAGATTATTAACTAGGGTTTAAGCTTGCTTAACTAGGCAGTAGTATTACTAGATAACTTCTGTAAAAGAAGGCATAGTAGAAGGTACAGTATTAGGAGACATTAAAGATACAAATTGTTAAGTTTCTAGATACAGAAAGGCTTAATTACAATTGTATTCTAGAATGCGCCAGATATGCTCCTAATTTATAATTAAAATGTACTTACACTGCTATTTGCGTCCCCTGCTTCTGTTGCAGGGCTATTACCTTTTGCATACTAGCTTTGTAGCTGAAAGATGACCTTGCATATACAAAAGTTGAGCTAGACACAAAAAAGTTAAGCTAGATATAAAAAAGTTAAAAGCTAACGCAGCACTTTCTGCTTTTAATTTCTAACGCTTGGCTGCTCAAGCGAGTTTTTAGCGTGTATGAACGAACTGTACGCACACTAAGGGCAGCGATGCAGCCCGGCTGCTACAAGAACAGTACTTCCACATCAACAGAGAATCTGCATACACAAGACCGTTTGAACCGCGAAATAGACCATTGCAGTGCTACCAATGCCAACAGCTAGGGCACAAGGCATTCACATGCACAAGGCAGCGGGTTTGTGCTAGGTGCGCTAGCGAAGGACACCACCACAGCAAATGCTAAGTGGTGGTCCCTAAATGCGTACTCTGTAGGGGCCCCTATAAATCTTTCTCTAGGAACTGTTAAGTGCTATACTCTAGTTAGGATGCCTAGGACGCTTAAAATATTCTAACTTAATGCAAAAAAAAAAACACAAGGTACTGTACAGCATAATAAATAATAAGTAACTATAAGACTTTACTATATTAGCTATTTAAAAACCTTATGTGTAAAGAAATAAAGAAGAGAGGATTATTACAACACTAGCTAAACACGCCTACTAGGCCAAATTTACGCTAACTGCATGTAGGGACAGTAGGTAGCCCTTCTAGAGTATGCTCTAGATATAGAAAGACATTAAGGCTAAATAGCTGCTAGTACAGTTGCTAGACTTTACAGCAGTAACGCTACAACTACCTAGTTAAACAGTCCTAGTAGTGTTAGTTTATGTTAAGATAAAAAATAAGTAAGCACTAAAAAAAATAATAAATTACATCTAAACTTTAATCTAAACTACACATAACTAAACTAGGACACAGGTAGATGTAGTCCTAGCAGGTAATTTTAACTAACATAACTAATTATAAAGAGGGGATAATGTGTTAAACACTTACTAAGGTAAAGTAGACTTTATTATATACCTTATAGTAAACTATTTACTTTACAGCTTACTTCTTAGAGGCATAAAAACATAGCAGCAAGAAATAAGTAAAAGCACTATTAATTTAATACTAACTTTAGACAACTTAGTAGCTACAGCACTATGCTATAAAGTCTATAAGACAGAACATAAGTTAGATTATAAAGTAATTAAAATAACCTTTAATATAAACACTTTAAAATAGTAAGTAGAAGTAAGACTATTATTTAAAAATGCACTATAAAAAGTAATATAAATAAAAGTTAAAAAGACACTTAAAGCTAAACTAATAAAAAGCAGTGTATAGTAATAAATAGATAGGCTAATAGAAGCAGTAATAAAGGCAGTCTACAAGCTAACCCTAAGAGCTAGGCTCTTACTATATATAAAAAAATAGTAGACTGTAGACTTTACACAGTTATAAAAAGTATATACATACTAAAAAAACAAGGTAAAAGCAAAACAGTAAGTAAAAAGAATAAGTATAAAAATAAAATAATAAGTAAAGGCAGCAGTAAAGAAATTTTACAACATAATATAGTAGTAGTGTAGAACCTACTAGAAGGACTTTCTAGTAAATAATGCTAATATTTAAAAGGCTACAAAATACTTTAAGCTAAATAGTACTATAACATTTAATAAAATCTCTTTTTTAAAAAGAACTAATAAATTAAGCATAAAAAAAAATCTAAAGATAGTAAATAAGTTACTATAGTTATTCTTTCTACTACTCTTAAACACTATTAAAAATAAAGGCAAACACTAGTAACATAGCCTAGTTAGCATGCCTAACCTAACTATAGATAAAATAGAATGCTGTCTGTTTATAGCTAAGCTGTAGAAGGCACTAGGCAATAATAGGCTTCTAGTTATAGTATAAAGGCAGCTATAGCTAGTTATAAAAAAGAGAATTCTACTTTTATTTTAAACATTACTAAAAAAGAGGGTTATTCTAGCATAGTAAAGAAACACTTAAATTATTCTACTTAAAAAGCTAAAAAAAAGTAATTATAAAGTAGTAAAGTTATAAAGACTTATTCTTTTACTATTAACTTTTAGTAAGATTTTTAAAGCTATTATATTAAAAAAAATCTTATATATAATAAAAATATATAAGTTACTTCTTATAAACTACTTTAGTAAAAGAAAACAGCAATTAGTAAAATAAGTGCTATTAATATTATAAAAACACATTTATAATGCATAAAATTTTAAAAAAGTGCTAAGTCTAGTAAGCTCTAACATAAAAAAGGCATATAATAAAGTATATAAAGACAGGCTAACTTAGAGGCTCTGTGCTAGAGGGATACTACTAGGCCTAGTATAATAGATAGACGCCTTTTGCTTTTATTATACAGTAACTATTATAGTTAACAGCTACACATCTAAGAAGAAACTACTGCTCTAAGTAAAGCTTTTATAAGAATTTTTTTTCTCTCTAATTTTATGTCTCTTTTTTAACACTAATTTAGTCTAACACTAGATTAATGCTTTTAGTAGTTTATTTACTTTTATAGATAACTATAACACTTAAGTAATAAAACTCCTAGTAATAAAAAATTATGTAAAACTTTAAAACATTATTAAAAAAGTAATAAAGTAAAAGAAAAAAAGTAAGGTAACTTTTAAAAAAAATAAAACTACTCTGATACACTTTATAAAAAATAAAAGTAAAATAAGTGTAAAACTAGTAATTGTTAAAAAATAGCTAGTTAAACTAATAATAAAAGCTAAAATCTTAGGTGTTATTATAAATATAAAGCTAAGATATAAGCAGCACATAGTAAAGGCAGCAGTAAGGGGCCTAAGGGCAGCCCTAGCGCTAAGGTAGTTATAGATAGTCTTCTTTACTATAGCCTAGCAGCTTTTTAAGTTAATAGTAGCACTAGTAGTAGACTACACATTAAGTGTATAAATGCACACTTACAGCATAATTTTAATAAAAGTAATAAATAAAATATAAAAAATAAAAGCTTAAGCTATTATAAGCTACTTCTAGATAGTTACTATAGCTATAGTAGAGGCAAAAGTAAGTTTATAAACAATGCATAAACACTACATAGTAAGGGCTATTAAAATATAGATTAATGTCTACACACTAGTAAAAATAAACTTTATATTAAAATTCTATATTATAGGCTTTTAATAGTTTTAATTACTACTATAAAAAATTATAAAATAGCTAGAAAAGCTTAATACTAACTAAATAAAAATAATTAATTTATATAATATGCAGCTATAAAACTATTACATTTTAGTAATAATTAAACTAGACTAAGTAAAGGCTATAACACTAGCTAACTAGTGTAATAGTATTAAAATTACAACAAGTGCATCTGTCTAGCTTAGTATAGTAGAAATAAAAGAAGTAATAGATAATATATAAAAAAAAAGTGCTTACTTAAGGTGCTACCTTATCTTTTACTTTAAGACTTAGAATAAAGTAAAACCTTTATATAGTAAAGCTAGCAGTAATAGTAGTAGCACTAACCTCTCTTCTAACATGCTAGACAGTAGACTAGGTTATTATTCTTACTAGCAGCTAAGCAGCTATATAAGTAATACACTAACTACAGAATTAGTTTAGTTAAGCTAGTATTAAATAAATCTATAATATAACTTAGGCACTAAAAGAAAGGCAGTGCTCTATATATATAGTATAGTGCCTAGCAGGAAGCAATAATTTAGTAAAAAAAGCTAAAAAAGTAGTAAAGAAAGCTATAGTAAATAGTAGTGTGCTAACTAGACTTTTTTACTAAGCTAAGTTAATAGTAACTAGAACTACAGTAAGAAACTAAAAATAAAAAAAAACTTACTAATAAAAGTAAAAAAATACTTATATAAAATAAATATAGCTTTACTAAAAAAAATATACTAAAAAGCTCTATAACACTTTAACTTAGTAAAAAGTAAAGATACTAGCATAATTATAAACTAAAATAACATAGCTAAATACATACTTAAACTAAATAAAAGCTGTAGTCTTAAACATGTGTATATATAGTTAAGTAAAAGAAACTATTTAGCACTTTTTTTTTAATACTAAAAATAAAACACACTTTAAATATAAATACTTTAGTAAATAGAGACTAAAAAAGAAAACTTTTTCTTCTTTTTAAAAAAAAAAGCACTAGTAGACCTAGTAAAATAGTTACTAGACATTAACATAGTAAAGATAATAGTTAAGTACATAATAGCAATAGGCTACTTAAGGTAAGAAGGAAGATAGAAACCTAAAACTATAAAAATAATAGTAAAAAAAAGACACTTAATACTAACTTTATATAACAGCAGGCTTTACTTTACTTGCTAATAAAAAGACTTTAAACACTTAAAAAAGAGACTTTAAGAACACTTACTATAAATTATAATTAAGAGGATATGTAATAACTACGCTAGATAGCAGAGTAGGAGGCATGTAAGGGCTACAAGGAGTTAAGCCATTACTAAAGAAGCGCTTAGGTAATAACGCACTAGTGCCCTCTAGGCTAGAGCCGGGCGTAATAAAGACATCATCGGGGTCACATAGCCTGTGCCTTGTATATAAGCATAAATCCTAACAAGTAAGGCTCAGCAGCAATTTGTCTCTCTTATAATACACTTCTATCTTTCTTTAAACTCTTGCTCTTAGTGCTATCTGTGCTATTTACTATTCTATTTTTACATTTAAATTGCTCTACAAGCTAGTATACTACTTAAAGGCAACATTCCTACATAATAGTGCTAATATAAAACACTAAAAAGAAATTAAATGCAACTAGCACTTAAAAACTACTTAAAAAGCTAAGTAAAATAGCTACTTCTAGTAACATATAACTAAAGTTAACACCAACATAAAAAGAACTAAAGTAAGAGATAAGTAAAAAAAATAATAAATTTTTTTATAAATTAAGCTTATTAAGCTATTAAAAAGGCGTTTAAGGCCTAGAAGAGGTTAGAAGAGCTAGTGCAAGACTAAGTAACACACAGTCTACCCCTGTAAATTAAGGTTTAGCAGAAGCCTACACTTAGCTATAAAAGTAGTAGAAAGTGTAAAAACTAGCTAAAATAATACTAATTTATAATTAATTTAAAGTAAGTAATATAAGCGCACTTAATAAGTTGCTAACTAAAGTATTAAATATTATTACACTAAAACTTACTTAAAACTAAGTAAACTTACTATATTCTAAACTACTACACTAATATAAAAAGAAGAATAAAGTAAACTATAACTAGTAGTGTAAAAATAATAAGAACTATTACTAATAAAGTTTATTAAGCTTTACTTAAAAATTATAAAAAATCTTTTTTAGCCTATAATACATTAATAAAAGACTATAATTACTATAAAAAATATACTACACTTATTTAAAGATTATTAACTTATTATAGTTACTAACATAGTAAAATCTTAAAAATAAAATACTTAATACATTAAGTACTTTAGTAGAATAAAAAAGAGTAGCTTATAGTACTATAAAAAACTATAAATAATAACTTAATTAGTTTTTAACTAAACTTTTAGCCTACTTTAAGCTATTATAAACTAAAGTTAATAAAATAAGCTTAGATAAAATAATAGTAAACTTTACTAGTACAGTATTTAATAAGATTAAACATAATCTAATGTATATTCTATAAAGTAAGCAAGAGACGCTAGCTTAAGTAAAAAAGTAAAGTTGGGATTATAGACCTAGGTTCCTTAGTCTTAGTCTAGGCTAATGCGTTTACATTGTTAGTGATAAAAGGTATGGGAATGTGGTGTTTGGTGGTAACATTGATGAGAGTGCGTCCTCAGCGGCAGTAATTGTTGTAGAGCTGAGGGACGCGCTGAGGAGGAGAGTGTTTATAGCAGAGTCGGGGTTAAAGATTGAGTTAAGCGCTAGGGCGATACAGAAGGTGTCTTATGATAAATTCACGAAGGGCGTTACTTTAGCTATTGTGCCTGCGGCAACTATTACAGCGTTGCAGGCAAAGTCTGCTGTAGTCTGGCTAAGGCAGCTTAGGTCAAGTACAGCAAATTTCAGCGTGGCTAGTGCGGCGAAGGCAAGAGGGGGATGGACGGCCGAGCTTTCGGGTGGAGTTGCTACAGTGAAAATTGCGAGAGCATGATTACCAGACTATGTTGTATGACAATTACATATGAATTATTGCTACCCAACTACTTATCTTTACCCCATAATCTCACTCTCCGAGAGGGGTTTGTTGGCTGCTTTAATACGGATCGACTAGTATATAATTTAGCGAGGTATTTACACCCCTTGCATACCCTTTTGTGTGCAGTTACAGAGGTCTCCAAGCTCTAGTCACCTAATACTACTTTCACCTGCTCCTGCCTATGCCAGTGGTAGCCTTAGGGCACATGACAGGTTCACCCAGTACTATATAAACACGTAATTACCCTCCTTTAGCAATCAAGCCAGTCCCTCGTGCCTCTGGTGCTCCCATAAACTTCAAACTTTCCACCTCGTTGATTTGGATACCATTTGGAGGCCAGGATTTTCTCGATATCCCAATACATGCGTCCAGGGAGACTACACATGTCCCTCTAAATTGTATCGCGTTGCACATGCTTGTTTGAATGCAATACGTATTAAGATTTTGTAAACCCGCGCGCTCCATGATGGGCTATTAAATCAACTCACGACAGGGGGTCCGAAGCTAATATATGTATATCATATAGCGCCTCGGACCCTCTACTCAAAAATATAAGAGTTCTCTACTTACCCATGCCCGTGCGTGAAAGGCTACAAGTATAAACTCGAAGTAACGAGGACTAAGAGACGGCTGTGATGGTTAGAGGCATCGCGTCTGTGTAGATGGGGGATGATGTGGAGGGAGTGGCGACGCGGCTGCGAAAGTCCCGTGTAAGGTTGGAGGCGACTCTGTCCTTGCCACTAATATGGACGCGTCGAGAATACGGAGACTCGCTAATGATCGATATATCTAGAAAGAGAGTGAAAACCCGAGGATAACATGCAAAACCCAAGGATATAGAGGGAAAACGGGGAAGATTGAAATCATTTTATTATCACTCTGCCCCCAGAGGTTTGACTGTATGTCGGAATGACAGGTATGTGTCGCACGTGTCTCACGCGATATCATACCCATGTACTGCACTATTCACTCATTAGGCATAGCTCCTATCTTGTACAGTATATAGTCAGCTTAGAGCTCTATTAAGCTCCTTAGACCTTATAATACACTTGTTTAATCTACCTTGTTTAGATCTTACTACTTTATTAACTTACTTCCTATATAACTCTTCTTTAGCTTATGCAAGAGTTATAAGCCTAGAGTTACGCTCTAGACTAGTACTATAGTTACTACTGCACATTTAGCTTTTGCATCTAGCTTAGGAGGCCCTGCAAACTTTAACACATATTAATTATAAATTACTTACTAGCTAAGCCTAATTAACTAGACAATAACCTTCTGTCTATTCTATACATATTAATTATAGATTGCTCACTAGCTAAGCTTAATTAACTAGATAATAACCTTTTATCTATTTTAAAACATATTAATTACAGATTGCTTACTACCTAAGCCTAATTAACTAGACAATAACCTTCTATCTATTTTAAAACATATTAATTATAGATTGCTTACTAGCTAAGCCTAATTAACTAGACAATAACCTTCTGTCTATTCCTATATATATTAATTATAGATTGCTTACTAGCTAAGCCTAATAAACTAGACAATAACCTTTTGTCTATTCTAAAACATATTAATCACAGATTGCTTACTACTTAAGCCTAATTAACTAGATAATAACCTTCTGTCTATTCTACACATATTAATTACAGATTGCTTACTACCTAAGCCTAATTAACACTGTCTATTCTAAAATATATTAATTACAGTTTACTTACTAGTTAAGCCTAATTAACTAAACAATAACCTTTTTATCTACTAAAGATAACTTTAAATATTAATGCCTCTATATAGCTTATAAAAAAGAGCAACTAGTAGCCTTAGTTTAGTTAAATTAAGACACAAGCAACTAAAGAGTGTGTCTAGAAGTACATTAATCTAGACCTTTTACTAGAAAATCTTCTAGTTAACACTATGCTATAGAGGCCTAAGGTTACAAAGTTTTATACAGGTGTTAGATATGCGCACCCACTGTCAAGACAGGAGGAACGCTTGACGAAAGCTGCTACATAGTACGAGCAATAAGCTCGAACAGTATGTTGCAGCATTTTGCAGCAAGTTACAGCAAGTTACAGCATTTTGCAGCATTTTGCAGCATTTTGCAGCATTTTGCAGCAAATTGCAGCATGTTGCAAGCTGGTCGCGCATAGGGCAAGTGCGCGAGGGACTCGGATCGGAAAAACAAAAGCCGAGCAACACGAGTAGAGCAGCAAAAGGATCGAAAAATCAATACAATCAATGATCATCCCATACATCACATCCAAACCCATCATTCATCTCAGGAAGCCTAGAAACAGTGCTTCAATCTGACAACAGGCAGCACCTAGCTTAGTCTAAATTCTATAGTCTCTAACCTAAACCTTAATAATTAGTAATGCTACATAATAGCCTATAAAGACTACTATAATAATTTAAAAATATTTAAAACTTAACATAAAGCTTTATTAGATATTTATGTGCTTATTAAAAGCACTATTAATGTCCGTACGCAGCAGCAGCGTCGCGGCCTGGATACGAGCGATCGCGCACGAGCAGGATCACGTATCTATGTCACATGATGCTCGTGCGCGAACCTCTGTGCGCAAACATCTAGATATCCCCCTTTTCCTCTGTACAGAGGAAAGAAAAGAGTAATAGAACTAGAAACATATTGCCCTTACTTTACCTACCTTGTACGCTGTGCACACTATACACCACTCTTACTCTTACTACTTAAGTGCTTATACTATAAGCAGCTAGCTATTAGAGCCTATTTAACACTAATTAGTAGTTAATTTAATTAACTATAAATTAGCAAGAGTAATAATAAAGTACTTACGCCTTATAAGGTACTTTGTTTTGTTACCTATCCCTTAGAAAGAGTAACAGCAGAGTACCTACGCTCTATAAGGTACTTTGTTTAGTTACCTATCTCTTAGAATAGTAGATTAATTCTTTGCATTATACAGTAAGCTCTGCTACTGTATAAAGTAAAAAGAAGATAGTGTAAGACGCACACTAAAGCTACTAAAGCTGCATAACTTAGTAGCTAGACAATAGCACATTAATCTTTTGCATTATACAGCAAGCTCTGCTACTGTACAAAGTAAAAAGGAGATAGTGTAAGGCGCACACTAAAGCTATTAAAGCTGCACAACCTAGCAGCTAGACAACAGCAGTACCCGCGCAATTTACTAGAAAAGTAATTAACTATACTATTATAATAGAATCCTACTAGCAACTAACAACTCTATATAATAATAGAAAGAATAAAGAACAATTTCTATTATATAAATAACTTATAAAGGACATAGAGATATTAAAAGCAACACTATAAAATAAAACTAGCCTAGAGTACTAAAATAACAAAATTAACATGTTAGAAGCTCTAATAAGCTTGTAGACTTAATTATACATAAGTTATATAATTACTAATCTATATATAATAACTTAGAAAGGTGCTACCTTTCTAAGTGCATACATAAAGGATTTTAAAGAATAGACACTATAAGACTTCTTAGCACTTAGCTGCGCGTTTAAAAGGAAGCTTATATAAGTACTAGAGAATAAAAGAATTACACTATAGCTAAGCACTAAAAGTACCTAAGCCTAGAAGCTATATAATATAGCATAAAAAAAAGTAATTGCACTAGAAAGGCTTTATACGCAACTTTTATTACTATATAAGGCTCTGCATAGAAGCAGACTAAACATAATGCTGCTATTAACACTAAACATACTAGTATTACCTGCTTTTACACCTTAGCTAGCACTACACTAATTACTGTACAAACAATACATGCCACTCTACCTAACGCCTGCTCCACACCCTTAATTGTACACACCACCGCCTGCAGTAGTGTATGCACCACTAATACCACCTGCACAATCTATACTACATTACAACCTGTACAAACTTCTACCCTAGAAGGAAAACGCTAAAGAAAAACTCTTAGCAGATAAAATTATATAATTTTAAAAAGCATAAAAAAAATAATAACTATATAAGTTAACTATATAACATTTTTATAAATAAAATAAAGATTTTTATTAATCTATATTAATAGCTAAATATTTAGAAAACTTAGTACACAGACATCTTTCTAGATATTTTAAAAGGTTAGGTAAATATGTACTATATGTATAACATAGGCCCTAGACATAACTAAAAGCATTTACATAACACTTTAAGTAGTTACTTTAACACTAATGTAAACTATAGCTAGTACTAAATAGACTAAACAATAATAACTTTTACATAATAATAATAAAAAAACTTTAATAAAAGTTTATATAAAGTTTTTAAAATAATAATTAACAAGCTTATGCTTACATAAAAAGCACTAAAAATAAAATTTTAAAAGAAGATTTTACTGCACACTGCTGTTATATAAGCCTGTTAAGGACAACTAGAACTAGAACATGCTATGTTTACTATTAAGCTTTTATGCAAAGCTTTATTTAGCAACCTACAGGCATTACTTTAAGTTACTATAGACTAAAAGGTAAACTAATACCTCTAAGAACTACCTAATGCATACTATATAGACTACTAATATAACTTTGCACAACAAAAAGAAAGCTTCTCTCTGCGTAGAAAAAGATAACATAGAAGATCTTTATCTAGGTTTAGGCTATAATCTAGAGACAACTGTACGCAGACAAAGAAGTGCTTTATTTGCTATAAAAAAGAATGTTAGTTATTAAACTACTCTTATAATAACTATACACAAGCAAAAAACTAGTATGTTGCCTTATATAAAAATTTCTATAATAAAACTTTATTATATAAAGCTATTACCTTATACATCTAAGACTTTAAAAGTTACCCTAAAGAAAAAAATAATTTACATAATATAAAAAAATAAAATAAAAAAGTAAAAATGCTAAAAAAGCTATTAACTACTTTACCTCTACTGCCTATCTACACTATGTAACAAAAGAGGGCATCTACAGCATTAAACCTAAAAAATATGCTAAGTAATTTATTCTTAATAACTAATACTATATAGTATACTAAGGCAAACTATAAGACATAGGTGTAGTAAAAATCTTTACTATTAGCAAGTTTTAACTTAAGGCGTATATATAAGAGAACTTATATATAAAAATTAATTAAACACTTAGCTAAACAGATATTAGCTTTAAAAGCTAGACACTAAAGAAATTAATTAGTACTATATAAATCTAGAACCTAATTAGTCTAGTTACATACTATATTTTAGAGACTTTAACACTATTTTTACTATTACTAGCAAATGCTAATTAACTTAAGGCATACTTTAATAACATTTTAAATATTATTATATATAAAGACAAAACTACTATACTTATTATATAAAAATAAAAACACTTTTTTTTTAATGTTAGTAAAAAAAAATTTATGTTTTTTTTTACTAAATTAGAACTCTACTACCTCTACTACTAATTTAGACACCCCTATATAAAGAGACTCTAGAAGATGCTAACTAGCGCTAGCTATAATATTAATGCTGCAGTGCTAGAAGAGATTAAGAAGTTCTGCTACCTCTACTAATTATATAACTAGGCTTTATAAAAATTTAAGTTTATAATTAAAAATAACACTTACTTTAACTATAAAGTTATTATTAATATTATATAAATTAATAATAGAGATGTTTTATATGTTATTAATATAAACACATTATTTTAGGCTGCTATATTCCTAAAATCTATGTCTACACAAGATACCTAGGATGCACTATGTAAATGCTAAATTAACACTTATTAAAAACCTTTAGACTACATTATGTATAACTTTAGTATAAACTTTACTTTAAAGGATTTTTAAGCTTATATAATTATTATAAAAGCTACATGTAGGCAGATGCCTATAAAAGCATATTAGGTAGTTAATAAAGTTAAGCGTGCGCATATACCTCTTTAATAAGCATTTAACATCCTAAAGACTAAGCTAGGTAACTGTATAGATAATAAGGCTATCCTGCAGATAGCAGTGAAGGCTCTAAATAACATAGCTAGCCTATATAGTCTAGTACCTACACTGCTAGTTTTTAAAGTATACTTAAGAATTAACCTAGACTCTTTACTATTACTAAACATTATTACATAAGTAAGTGCTATATAAAAAGTAATAAAAATACTTTAAAAAAACTATATAAAAGTAAACATTAATTATGTAATTAACACTTATAATAGCTTTATAATATATAAAGTTCTTAACTTTCCCCTTAGCTTAAAGATTATAGCATAAAAAGAGAAAAAAGGCTAGACTAGCCTATATAAAATTAAAAGCATTAAAAAAAGAAATATTATTATTAAAAAAAATAGCCTACTAAAGCTCTAATATACACAGGTTAAACTATACTATAGAGAAAAAAAGAAAAACAACCTACTTATAATAGATAACCTAGATAAACTAATTCTTATATAAAAAGATCTTCTAAAGAAGAGAAAAAAAAAATAGCTTTATAAAAATATTATAAAAGTAGAACTAAAGCTTACTATAAACTAAGCCCCTTAGAATAGCAATGCTGCACTAGTGTAAAGAGAAGATATAGATACTAAAAAAAGTAAAAAGTAAAAGAAACTTACATAAAGTCTAGACTAGGTATTTCTAACCTAAAAGAAAAAAAATAATTAGGCCTTATTTATTAAGCTTTATATAAATAGTGTAATTACTACACCTAAAAAACTATTTAAAGAATTAGACTATATAAAGATAAATATTTTAATTACTAATAGCACTTTTAAAGTTATAGTGTATAACTTAATAAAGCATAAAAGTTAGATTTTTAACCTCTACCTTATATAAAAAGTAAAAGGCAAAATAACTTAACTATATAAAAAATTCTACCTAGTGTTTGCTAGCTACTTAAATAAAAAGAAAAAAGAAATTCTTACTTAGTTACTAACTATTTAGAAAATAAGCTAGAGACTACTTTTAGCTATAAAAGTAAGCTTAAAAGCTATGTATAGAATGCATTTTAAACTACATAATATTATATAAGCATATATTTAATTAACAAATAAGCTTATGTGCACGCTATACATAAAGCTACTAAAGAAAATGCACTAGAGCTTTCTACTAAATATAATACTCTAGGTTGTATAACTCTTATATAGAGCTGCTAAATTAGGACTGTATTAGTTTAAGACATACTATAACTACTATAAAAAAAAGCTACACATGCACATCTTTTTATATAACCCCTACCTTTTAATTACTAATAAAAAAGAGCACACTTTTAGTATTACTAGCTTATAAATAAATAACACTTTAAGCATTATAATAAAAAATTTTACATAAAGAGAAAAAAAAAACCTGTAAAAAGTAAAGTTTTATATAAAAAGTAAGACTATTTTAGTAAAGAAGCAACTTATTAAGTTTAATAGTAAAAAAATTAAACTTATACATAACATAGTAGTTTTTACTTAAAAGAGATAAGTAAGCTACTTTTATATAATTAACTTAAAAGACAAAGATGCTGCATAATAATATATTAAGTAATATGTAAAAAGAGTATATATTATATCTATATGTTAACTAGAGGTAGCATTTAACCTGTCTATTACTATATAAACTATAAACTCTTTGTATAATAATATTAATATACTTAACACATAAATCTAATAGTAGATAGATAATAGTAAGTATAGTCTTACTTTTTTACTATTACAGCTTAATTATGTAAAGCTGTTTATCTTTATAAATAAATTATGTACTAATAATAAAAACCTTAGCTTATAGCTAAAATTTTTAATTATATTAGGTAATAAAGACTATATAAAGTAAAGCAACTACTTTAAAATACTAGGTAATATTATATACTAGAATTCTACTAAGTGTAAAAGAGTAACTAGAAGTGTTCTTACTAGTAAACTATATAAAATAGTTAAAAGGTTTAATAATATAATTACACTTAGTATAACTTTATAGTAAATTATATAAACACTTAAACTGCTACTAATTTTAGTAGTAATTTATATAAATTTAAGGTCTTTATATAATTACTTTATTAAGCTAAGCACTACTAGTAAAAAGTAACTTATAATTAACATTATATTACTTTATAAATTATATAAGAAAAGAGAAATTACTAAAATTAAGTAAATTAATAGTAAAAATAACTTAGTAAATATATATATAAAAAAAACACTAAACTAGGCTTTTTAATTATTAGTTTTAACTAACTACCTCTCTGTCTAGATAGAAGCATTTATAGACTAGCTAGATCTTATGCGCAAAGATACTTTAGACTAACTAGACTAATAACACTTTTATATAAAGCTTATTTTTTTTTATTTTATTTTTTTTTATATTATACATAATTATTTTTTTATTATAAGGATCTATTACTGCTAGCACTATATAAAAAGAGAAAAGAGCTAGGGGATTATATAGCAAAGCTTAGAAAGCAAAGAATAAAAAAAAAAAAAGCTATTTATATAGTATAACTAGCTTATTCTAACACATAGCATTACTAAGGCAAGTCTTAATAAATAAGGTAAAAAAAAAGTAAAACATAATTAAATAGACCTACATAGATAGAAAGAAGGTAACGCGTATAGAAGGTAACTTTTTAGACAAAAAGAAAAGTTGCTAGTGTCTATACATAGCAGCAGTGTTGCAGCCTAGATACAAGCAATTGCGCACAAGCAGGATTACATATCTATGTTACATAATGCTTATGCGTAAACCTCTGTGCGTAAACATCTAGATATCCCCCTTTTCCTCTATACAGAGGAAAGAAAAGAGTAATAGAACTAGAAACATATTGCCCTTACTTTACCTACCTTGTACACTGTGCACACTGTACACTACTCTTACTCTTGCTACTTAAGTGCTTATACTATAAGCAGCTAGCTGTCAGAGCCTATTTAACAATTAACATAATAAACTACTTTATTATTAAAGATAAAAAAAATAATTTATAAAAAGCTAAAGGCCTTAAGGGTAATTCTAAAGCCTTTTAATAAGTAGCTTAAGCAGAGCGCACAAGCAGCATATAACTACGCAAGAAAGTAGTTATTAAAAATAAAATAAGACTAATAAATTACAGTGTATAAAAACGCATATATTAATGCTAAATTAGTTTACTTGCTAAATATAACAGAATATTAACTACACTATAACTTTATGTTAGTAATTTTAGACATAAACTTTAGATGCGCAGTAGCTATTTAATTAATTCTAGTCTAGTATAAATAGACTAATAAGAATCTACCTAATTTTCTTCCTAGTTGTCTAGAGTTTTTTAAAAATTAGTAATAATTATAGCTAACTTAGTAACCTAGCATTACCTACAGCAGTTTTGCTATATACTAAGGACACTTATCTACACTAGAACAATAATAGTTTATATGCAACTTCTATAAAAGTTACTATAAATCTAAGAATTATAAGATTAATAATTCTTAACTAAGACCTAAAAAGTTCTAGATCTTTACTTTCTTCTAGCAGAAATATAATAAGTAGATAAGTAGTAATTTTTAGCTTAAAGTAAAAGCTAAGTAGCTTAAAAACAGAGACCTTTTTTTACTACTAAGAGACTAACTAAACTAAAGAAGAGAATGCAGAAGAGGTAGTAATAATAGTAACTATTATTAGCTAACTTAATTATCTAGTTATATAACTTAATTATATAATTAAAGCCTATAGTCTTAACCTAGTCTAAATTTAAATATAATTTTTAAGACACTAGCTTTTAATAATTCTACTAACTAGAATTTACTTAATGCTTTAACTAGCACTAGGTAATTAGCAGCTACTTTTATAAGCTTTATAATAAACTTTATAAGTAAAGAACATGCTGTAAAGCTAAATAATAAAGAAAATCTTTTTTAGCACTTATAGATCCTAGATCTTAGAGTAGACATCTATGTTTATAATAATATAGCTAACTTTTAATAAACTTAGAGCTTATCTTTATTAGACTAACTTAGGGCTAGTAGCTAACTTCTTTTTATACTAATATAAGGCACTATTATGCTTCTATTAAGAGTTTTAAAGTACCTACTAAGATAAACTTAAATAATATAGCCTATATCTTTAGAAAGTTTACTAGTCTTATATCTTTTTCTTAAGAATAAAATATACACTTTAACTCTAAAAATAACTTTATATATAAATAACTTTATAATAGCACTTAATTACTAATTTACTTTACTAATTAAACTAGAAGTTACTAGGCTCTAGTATTACATATAAAAGATCTATTTATTAGATTTATTTTATTAATAGTTATAGCTGCTAAAAACCTTACACAGTAACTTATTACATAAAATAATACTTTAAATAATAAAGATTATATTAATTTTATAAAAGAGCTTCTAAAGCTTAAAAAGTGTAATAAGAAACTTAGTAATTAGCTGCATAAAACATACTAGCTAGGCTCTCTTTATTATCTACTTTTTTTAAAATAACTTTAAAAACTATTCTAAAAGTTAACTTAAAAAAAAAACTAATATTAACTTAGTTTCTTAAAATAACTTTAGTAATACACTAGATAATAGCTCTAATAATAAAATACTATTAGTTATTAAAGTTTATTTATAAATAGGCAACACAGCTATAGACTTTAAAACTAATAATAATAATTTTAAGTAAGCTATAACTACTTAGCATATAGCTTTAATTAATTATAAGCTTATAAGAAAGAAAAATTTACATACACTAAATCTCTACTGCAGACATGCTAGTAAACAGCCTTACTAAGTTTCTACTTTAATAAAAGCATTTAGGCTTTATTAAATAACTAGGCCTTATCTGCTTAAGTAACACTTTAAAGGCTTACTTTACTAATATTAGCTTTAAAGCCTAAGCTTACTAACTTCTTTTTGCTGTTCTACACTTTTAAGTGCACTACTATACACCTGCAGTCTATTATTTCTTTTTATATAGCTTTACTTTAGTATTTACTTTGTTAAAGTTAGATAGGTGTGTCGCACGTGTCTCACGCGATATCATACCCATGTACTGCACTATTCACTTATTAGGCATAGCTCCTATCTTGTACAGTATATAGTCAGCTTAGAGCTCTATCAAGCTCCTCAGACCTTATAATACACTCGTTCAATCCACCTTGTTTGGATCTCACTACCTTGTTGACTCGCTTCCCATATGACCCCTCTTCAGCTCATGCAAGAGTATGTCCTGTCATGCGTTTTCATCCTCCTTTTTGCCCACCGCCGATCGGGCTGCATTTCGCAACTATACCCATATTTTGGAACACCGTCGTAGATGCTAATATTAGCAAAGCGTAAATCCTCCTCTCAAACCCTGAGCCAATTGCGACTCAGGGTGGCCTTGCGTTCCAAACATTTCCCGAAAGTAGCGACACACTACTGCGATTTGGGTATTGGTTGCGATCGGGACGTGCTACGCTGACAAACTGCACCCGCCCCCACGGGCACGGATCTGGCGCTCGCCAACGAGTCCTCCGATAGCGACCTAAAATAGTATTTCGATAACATCGGCACCATTTGACATTAGCATTGTTCATGTTATAATACGGGAAGTGGCTGCAGATAATTTCAGGGGCTGGCTTACCTGAGGTTCGGTACGTGCATCAAGATCGCACCGCCTCCAGAGTCTCGAGCTAAAGGTCCTCGTGCGCTGCATGATTTACCTCAGACAGCAAACTCGGGTAATTATGCTTCATCAACTGGAGTTAAATCTATTAGATGCTTGGACTCTTAGGCTAGTCACCGGGAATGGTAGTAGAGACTCAGCGATGGGACCGATTTAACGTACAAGTCCACAACGGTATGATGAGGACCTTTAAGATGTTGAGGCTCATGTGCAAATGATACTTACACACGGCTGGCGCTGGTACGGTGACAAGTTCTGCCCTCTGTGGTTTTCTATCAACCGACTTTCGCAGCTTTCCAAAGCCCATTAGCGAGTGACGTTCGCTTCGCCCACACAACCGCACCCCAGAGTTCGGCCCGAACCATTCCCTAAGTGCCACAGTGTCACTCGCAATCTACGAGGATCACAATGAAATCACCAATAGAAACGTCGAAACGGCCGAAATTTTTTTCGCTCTGTGATTCAGGTGTTGACATAGAGATATTAGAAGAGTTAAATTTTATCAGTGCAGGCCCTGCTGTTAGATAATCTACCCCTAGGCGGATGCTTATTGAGCTAATTGCGGTAAATGATTGACTGGTTCGCTTAAGCTTATTTATCGGGCTGGGATGTGACTCAGCTCGACGACGAAGGCGACAACGAGGATGATCAAATCCCTCGGAAAAGATCATGTGAATAACCAAGCTAAAGGGCATAATTAGGCCACTCCCTTTCTAGGGCAATCAGCTCGTCACTTCAATTTACCTCCACTCCTCTCACTATTCCATCACTTTGTTCTACCCTAGTTCAACTTTCTTTTTACGCTTATACTTCTCAATTAAAATGCATGAAATCCTACTATTTGTTGTCATCATCGTGAGCTTTCTTTCCAAGGCCATGGCTCGGCCTCATGAAGATTTACCCACACACCATCCGACAATCAGATGGAGGAACTGCACTCTAGACGTCCCTCGTCTTCAGTGCGGAGAAATGGCTGTTCCGATCGATTATGGTAATCCCACAGGAGAGTCCATCACCATCCGCATGGCTCGCCTCAAGTCAACTAACAACGGTACTGCTCCCTTGGGCACTCTTTTGATAAATCTTGGGGGACCTGGAGCCCCCACAGCCGCTCTTATTAAAGATGTTGCAAAGGGAAACCAACTTTTTAGTGAAGAATTGATGGCAAATTACGATATTGTTGGACTGGACCCCAGGGGCGTTGGCACGAGCAACCCCGTAAAATGCAATCAACGGATCTGGAACGAGCGAGTCAACCTATTCCCCACTACCGAAGAAGAGTACCAGTCAATTGTCGCACACAACAAGGCGCTCGGAGAGAGTTGTGCCAAATTGACTGGGAATCTCATCAATCATCTAGACACTGCACACGTGGTAGAAGATTTCGAGATGTTCCGCCTTGCCATCAATAACGGCGGGTTGAACCTTCTCGCATGGTCATATGGAACACAAATAGCTATACAATATGCGGAGAAGTATCCAGAGAATGTCAACCGCTTCGTCCTCGACGGCATCACCGACCACACCCTCCCCGAAACTACAACGCTTATCGCTGAAGCCGCAACCTACGAAGCAACCTTAAACCAGTTCTTTCTCTGGTGCAACACGACATCTGACTGCTTACTCCAAGGCCAAAATGTCGCTGGCCTTTTTGACAGCCTCGTCAAGACCGCCGCCTCGTCGCCAATCCCAGCCCCTAACTGCAACTCTACAGGAGACAACGCTTGCTTCTCAACCATAACCGCCTCCGACATACTCACCAACGTCCAATTTCTCCTTGCCGGCCCAAACATAAACACAACTTGGCCGGAACTCTCCTCTAGTCTTGCTGCCGCCGCCCAAGGCAACGCTGGGCCGGGCCTGTCTACCCCTATCGCCACTTCCGATAACTACAACGGATATGCGTTCCTCGCTATCGCCTGCCAAGACTGGCTTCATGAATCCAGTGGTGTTACGGACGTTCTCGAAAAGCAGCGCATGGCAGCTGCAATGTTCCCTCACACCCGTGGCGCTTCTGAGAGTTACTACGCGCAGGTCAAATGTATTGGTTGGCCAGCGCTAACGACTAATCCCCAGCACGTGCTTGAGAAGAAAGCGCTTAGGGCACCTCCGATGTTGCTGGTAAACGCGCTGTGGGACCCTGAGACGAGTATTGTATGGGCGACGGGGGTGGCGAGGCAGTTGGAAGAGACGGGGTCAGTGTTAGTAACGAGAGATGGAGCTGGGCATACAAGTTATTTGGGTAGTTTAGAAGGAGAGACCCGAGGGGTTGAGGAGGTATTTTTATTGACAGGGGTGTTGCCGGCAAAGGGTTTGGTTTTGAGGTCGTGAGCTGGGGGTAGGGGGAATGTTTTTTGTCGCAATTATAGCTAGCTGTAGCTGCACTGCATATTATTTTGTAATGCTCCTAGCCGGATGATCAGTGGTGGCCGCCATGCAAAGGTTCAGGAACCGGTTGAGAATCTTAGCACTATTAGACCAAGCGAGAGAGGCGAGACAAGATAACGCCATCAAGACATTCTCAGGGAGACACCGTTCTAGTTCATATCACGTAAGACTTCGGAAGGTTAACAGCCAATACCCATGAACGTGACAGCTATATCATGTTGTTTAATCTGTTAGGTTCTTCCAATCTGGACGGGGCGAACCACTGTCCACGTGTCTGTTAATCTTCGTCAGGCCTGGGTTAGTTATTCTCGGATGAACCGGCTCGGCCTAAAACAGCCCTTTTCACTATGTTTTGCATGAAATTGAAGTTTAGTGTATGCAGTCTCAACCTCGTTGGACACCAGGCAACAATGGAAACCTACCACTACTAGATCCTAGGCTTCTTATACCTGATTGATTTAATTCGGCCTTCGAGGTCTACCTATCGTCCAGACTGACATTTAAGTTAGATGTGATTTACCACTCTTCACTTAGACGATTCCCGGAAACCTATTTAGGTTATTCTATCGCAAGGTGAGCCTAGATGGAGCTGATGGAGGCCCTATATAGGGAGAGGCGAGCAGACAATTAGATGTTGAGAGACGACCTAGGTATATCGAGGTAAGGTGTAAGGTCTCTCGAGCCTGAGAGCGTTCAGAGGTAAATATATAGTAGCAAAAAGAGCGCTAGCCCTAAACAGGAAAAGGGCGAGAGGTGAAGGACCCACATTCTTATCTCACGTGCTTAGCCGACTGTACAAAGAAGCTCGGAGCCCCTGAGGGCCCTATCCCCCTATAACTAAAAGAGCGACTTCTTCTAGGCCTCTACTAACAAGGCCAGCCAACTAGAGGCTTAAAAACGCTTTCTCTATCGCTATATAAAAGACTTTTGTAAATTTTTAAGTAATATAGTAATTGCAAAACCTCCTCTACTATGCTCTAGCTTAACTAAGAATTATTATAACATACACTACAGGCGAGTTGCTTACACACCTAAGTTACTTACTTTTACTAAGACTCTACTAAACTACTCTTTCTACACTAACACATTTCTAATAACACTACTTAGACATGCTTAAAGAATATTAAATATAGCTTACACTTTAGGCTTTTAAATAAAACATAACACTCTTAAAGTAACATGCTATATCTGTGTATAAAGTTTTTTAAATAATAATAAATAACTAGCGCGCTAGACAACTTTTATAAGCTAATTTTATAGCTAACTTATAAAGGCTAGATAATAATAAAAAGCAGGTAATTATTAAGCATATACTTAAGCTATATGCGCAAGAATTTTCCCCTTAGCTAGTAACTATAGCTAATATAGCTAATTCTTTACACGCTAAGCATAATCTAGGCTATGTTAGCATAAACCACTTTAGTATGTTTATAAAGTATTATTTAAAGCTTAAAGTAAATTTTAAGTGTAAGTATAACTATAAAAAAGCTTTTTATAAGAATGTTAAAGTAATTTAAAGCTAGTTTACCCTTATAGAGAATATTAAAGCTAAGTATAGCATTTAGAATAATAACATATGCAACTTTATTAAGATAGGCTTTATAATAAGCTAAATATTTACTAACTATACTTACACTTAAAACTTTATTAACATACTAAGCTAGTTTATGCTAATATAGCCTAAATTATGCTTATCGTGTAAGGAATTAGCTATATTAACTATAGTTGCTAACTAAAAAGAAATTTCTTATATATTTAAATTAAGTATATACTTAGTAATTACTTAACGTACCTAACGGGTTGGCCGGCCACACGGGTTGGCCAGCCACTTTTGCTAAGCCCCTACTAAACTCTACCTATCTATATAATGCCTTAACAACAACACTAGATTAAATCTTCTAAAGAACGTTAGATATAGCTTGCTCTTTAGGCTTTTAAATAAGACTTAAAACTCTCCTTATAACACGCTGCAGCTATCTATAATGTCTTTTACACAACACTAAGTAATTAACGCGCTGGACAGCCTTTATAAGCAGAATGCTAGCCTAAATTAAGAAATCTAACTAAGCTTAAAAAGAAGGTAGTTATTAAGTATATACTTAAGCTTATTACACGCAGATTTCCCTCTAGGCTTGTAGCTATAGCTAATATAGCTAATTCTTTGCCTACAGAGTGTAATCTAGGCTAGGTTAGCTTAAACTAGACTAGTATGTAGGTTAAGCACTGCCCTAAGTTTACAATAAAGTTTAATTATAAGTATAATTACAAGAGAGTGCTTTATAAGGATCTAAAAGTTATCTAGGGCTAGTTTTGCCTAGTAGCTAACATAAAAGCTAAGTATAGTATTTAGAATAAAAACAGGTATAACTTTAACAAGTTAGGCTTTATAATAGGCTAGATATTAACTAGAGTAGTTATTACAGCTTTAAAGAGATAAGAACAGCTAAAGGTAATATAGTAAGGTAATAAGAAGTAGACAACAGTTATCTAAGGCATTAACATAATAAAGTAGGCTATAAGATTATAAAGCTTTAAGTAGCAAATAAGGCTGCTACATAACATAGATTACATAAAAGAAAGCAGATTTAGGCAGAAAAGACTTTAATAGTTAAGAATAAGGCTTATCTAACTGCTCTAAAGGAGTTTAAAGTGTGTAGTAATAGGAAGAAGCTAAAGACACAGGTGCGCGCTAAAGGAAGTAAGCTAAGTTAAAGGTAATGCAGGCAGTGCAATTAGACTAGGCATAACTTGCGTATGTGTAAGTAAGTAGTAGAAATAGACTCTAAATAATATCTTATGTTGTATTACTTTATATAGGGCTAAAGTGGGCTGTTTTGCAAGAGAATAGGGTGGTTTTAGTAGGGGCTTAGCAAAAGTGGCCGGCCAACCTGTGTGGCCGGCCAACCTGTTAGGTACGTTACTTTTTATTATTATTTTGCTTTTATAAGTTAGCGATAAAATTAGCTTATAAGTTAGCGATAAAATTAGCTTATAAGTTAGTTAGTATATCTGTTATTTATTTATTTTTTAAAAAACTTTATACATAGCTATAATGTATTACTTAAAAAGTGTTATGTTTTATTTAAATGCTTAAAGTATAAGCTATATTTAATAATTAATAAGCTAGATAAGTTTTACTAGCTAATTCTACAGCTAACTTATAAAAACTAGATAATAATAAAAAGTAAGTAATTATTAAGCACATACTTAAGCTAGACGTGTAAGGACTTTTCTCTTAGCTAGTAGCTATAGTTAATATAGCTAATTCTTTACACGCTAAGCATAATCTAGGCTATGTTAGCATAAACTAGCCTAGGATATTTATAAGGTGTTATGTAAAGCTTAAAGTAACATTTAAATGTAAGTATAATAATAAAAACACTTTTTATAAATGTTCTAAAGTAATTTAAAGCTAGTGTAGCCTTATATTGCATGTTAAAGCTTAGTATAGTATTTAGAATAACAACACATACAACTTTAATAACATAGACTTTATAATAGGCTATATATTTACTAAGTAAAACAGTTAGTAAGAAGAAGTAGAATAATATTAATTAGCTTATAAAGTTTCTTTAGTTCTACTACAGCATAATAAAAAGACTTAAAGGCAATAGTAAGTATAGGTTACTTTAGATAACTATTATAACCCTCTTGCACTTATATATAGAAATGTTAAAGATAAAAGATAAACTTACTAGTAAAAATTATTATTATTACCTTAAACATAGTGTCTTTTTTAGAATAAAGAAGCTTATATTATATTAGAAGAAAATTGTTATAAAACTATGTATATTATATTACTTTATTATAACTATTTTTAACTCTTAATTACGCCTTATTTAGTTTAAAGACTACTAGAGAAACCACTCTTTATAGCATAAAAAAGCCAAGGCTTGAATAAAAGCTATTTTTAAAATATATTAACATAAAAGCTAAGGCTAATAAGAAAGAAAAGTTATAATAGCCTACTTAACATAAGTGACTTAGTAGTAATTATTATAATAAAAGCTATAAGCATGCTCTCTCTGTTAACATAAGCCTTCTTATAGACTCTTGTTTATATAAAAAACAGTAGAAGATAATAGAGATTTAATAATACTATAATAGCTACTTTAAAGACCTCTTTATAGCTTAAACAGGCAGCCTATTATTTTAATTACCTCTTTCTCAGTAGCTTAAAGTTAGGTATAACTTATATTCTACACCTTTTAAGATAGCCCTTAATTTCCTCTGTATCCCCTCTATAGGCTGCAATTATAAGAGAGCCTTTAGTAAAGGTAGGAAGATAGTTATAATTAATAGAAACCTTTTTTAGAGTTACTATAATTAAAGCTCTTTAGCTTTAAAAGAACTAGTTATGTTAGAGTGCTGTAAAGAGTAAATTAACAACTCTAGCAGACTATATCTAAGGGAAAGGTTTATCTAGACTAGCGTAACTTCTTTTAAAATATACAAACGTACAAGGATTCTAAAACAGTCCTGTTATGCTACATAGTTAATAATTAATTCACTGTTTACGTACAAACGTACTGCTAAAGTAAGAAGGTCTGGTCTGCTCTTAAGCCCAAACGTAACGTACTACGTACTGTTGACCACGTTGTCCATATGACTCGATACATTGATACCGGCGGAAGATAAGAGCTTAGCACTCTAAGTTGCTGTGAGGGGTGGATGTAAAGAAATCGTACTTGCCCTACTTGAAGCCAGAGCGTAGATTGAGCCTGAAGATATCAATGTGGAATCGCCCCTTCAACAAGCTGCACGGGAAGGCCGAGACGAGGTGGTACAGCTTTTAGTAGAGCACGGGGCCGACATCAATGGGGAAGGGCATCGCGGGTAGACTGTCCTAAATATTGCTGCTGCACACGGTAGTGATAAGGTAGTTGAAATATTACTTGATTCTGGGGGCAAAATGACATGCTCGGAGGGAGCAGCGATTCGGTCGGCAGCATGAAACGGTTGTTACAGCCCAGTCGAGCTCCTAGTTGGGCGAGGCACAGATCTTAATGATAAGGATAGTAGAGAGGCATTGTATAGCGCGGTTTGGAACCGCAATGACGTTGTTGTTCGACTGCTACTAACTCGTGGCGCCGACCCTAACTATCATGACGGAGACCGTGAAACGCGGCCAAATGTGGCCTTGTCCATGGCTATGGTTGAGAAAATTGGTCCTCTCCTGCTCCAATATGGTGCAGATCCTGCTACTACAGGATTGCATGGGGAGACACTTCTGTCATGGGCTGAGAGGAATGGGCCTAAGGCTGTGCTAGATATATTGGACCTCGAGCGGGAGTGCTTTGACCTTAGAGGTCAAGATAGACAAAATTTGCTATCTTGGTCTGTTGAGAACGGGGACTCTGAGGTGATGAGCCCGTTGGTAGAGGCGGGTGTGGAGGAAGATTGCAAGCCTAGTGACATGCTATAGCTGTTAGCAAATGTCAGATGAGAGAGGCCTGGACCGAAGGCATAGCGAGATATAACAGCACGAAATATTGCGAAGTCGTCACTCTATCCCACAAGGATGCAATATATCATGAGCAAGCTAGCAGAATCTCTTGCATAAGCTGAGAAGGGGTCATATGGGAAGCGAGTTGACAAGGTAGTGAGATCCAAACAAAGTGGATTGAACGAGTGTATTGTAAGGTCTAAGGAGCTCGATAGAGCTCTAGGCCGACTATATACTGTACAAGAGAGGAGCTATACCTAATGAGTGAATAGTGCAGTACATGGGTATAATATCGCGTAAGATACGTGCAACACACCCCTCTAGCTTTAACAAAGTAAATACTAAAGCAAAGCTATATAAAAAGAAATAATAAACTATAGGTGTACAGTAATGCACTTAAAAGCGCAAAATAGCTAAAAAAAAAAAAAAGTTAGTAAGCTTAGAGTTTTAAGCTAATATTAGTAGAGTAAGCCTTTAAGGCGTTAATTAGGCAGATAAGGCCTAGTTCTTTAATAAAGCCTAGTGTAAAGGCATAATACTAGCTAGACAGTTTAGTAGTAGTTTAAATAAGTGCAGTAGCGTGTTATTAACGCCTTAATCTACTTTCTTTTTTTATAATGTTTAATTTATTAATAGCAGCTGTGCTTCTAGTAGAACCTAGTCTAGTAAAGTCCTTAAGCTATATGTAAAGGATAAAGTTAGCGCTTTTAAAAATGTCCTACAACTTATAATTAATTATAGTAGTATGCTAAGTAGTTTTAGCTTACGTAAAGTAATTATTATTAGTTTTAAAGTCTATAGCTATATTACTTGTTTACAGATAAACTTTAATAACTAATAGTAGCTTATTATTAAAGCTATTACTTAGTGTGTTGCTAAGGTTATGTTAAAAGACTAAGTTAATATTAGTTTTTCTTTTAAAGTTAACTTTTAAAATAGTTTTTAAAGTTATTTTTAAAAAGGGTATATAATAAAGAGAGCCTTACTAGCGCTTTTTATATAGCTAATTACTATGTCTTTTATAAAATTAATATAATTTTTATTATTTAAAGTATTATTTTATATAATAGGTTACTGTGTAAGGTCTTTAGCAGTTATAACTATTAATAAAATAAATCTAAGAGATAAATCCTCTATATGTAATACTAAGGCCTAGTAACCTCTAGTTTAAGTAGTAAAGTAAATTAGTAATTAAGTGCTATTATAAAGTTATTTATATATAAAGTTGTTTTTAAAGTTAAAATATATATTTTATTTTTATAAAAAAAATATAAGACTAGTAAACATACTAAAAATATAGGCTATATTATTTAGGTTTATCTTAGTAGGTCCTTTAAAACTTTTTATAGTAAGTGTAACTATGCTCTATGCTAGTATAAAAAGATGTTAGCTACTAGCCTTAAGTTAGTTTAATAAAAATAAGTTCTAAGTTTATTAAAAGTTAGCTAGATTATTATAAACATAGATGTCTACTTTAAAATCTAAAATATATAAGTGCTAGAAAGAATTTTTTTTATCTAGCTTTATAGCATGTTTTTTACTTATAAAGTTTATTATAAAGCTTATAAAAGTACCTGCTAATTACCTAGTGCTTATTAAAGCATTAAGTAAATTCTAGTTAGTAGAATTATTATAAAGTTAAGTTTTAGATATTGCATTTAAATTTAGACTAGGTTAAGACTATAAGCTTTAATTATATAATTAAGTTATATAACTAGATAATTAAGTTAGCTAATAATAGTTACTATTATTACTGTCCTTTCTATATTTTTTTTATCTACTATGTTCTCTGTTTTAGTTTAGTTAGTCTTTTAGTAGTAGAAGGTCTTTGTTTTTAAGCTGCTTAGCTTTTACTTTAAGCTAAAAATTACTACTTATGCGCTTATTATTTTCTTACTAGAGAAAAGTAAAAGTCTTAAACTTTTTAAGTTTTAGTTAAAGATTATTAATTTTACAGTTTTTAGATTTATAGCAGCTTTTATAAAAGTTGCATATAAACTACTGTTGCTGCTATTCTAGTGTAGACAAGTGTTCTTAGTATGTAGTAAAACTGCTATAGGTAACACTAGGTTACTAAGTTAGCTATAATTATTACTAATTTTTAATAAACTCTAGACAGCTAGTAAGAAAATTAAGTAGATCTTTATTAGTCTATTTATACTAAACTAGAATTAATTAAATAGCTGCTGCGCATTTAGAGTTTATGTCTAAAATTACTAATATAAAGTTATAGTGTAGTTAATATTCTGTTACATTTAGTAAGTAGACTAATTTAGCATTAATATATGCATTTTTATACACTATAATTTATTAGTCTTGTTGCATTTTTAATAACTACTTTCTTACATAGTTATATGCTGTTTGTGCGCTCTGCTTAAGCTACTTATTAAAAAGCTTTAAAATTACCTTTAAGGCTTTTAGCTTTTTATAAATTATTTTTTTATTTTTAATAATAGAGTAGTTTATTATGTTAATAGTGCTTTTAATAAGCACATAAATGTCTAATAAATCTTTATGTTAAGTTTTAAATATTCTTAGATTATTATAGTAGTCTTTATAAGCTATTATATAGCATTATTAATTATTAAAGTTTAGGTTAAAGACTATAGAATTTAGACTAAGCTAGGTGCTGCCTGTATAAAACTTTGTAACCTTAGGCCTCTGTAGCATAGTGTTAACTAGAAGATTTTCTAGTAAGATATCTAGATTAATATACTTCTAGACACATTCTCTAGTTGCTTGTGTCTTAATGCAACTAAAATAAGGCTGCTAGTTGCTCTTTTTAGTAAGCTATATAAAAGCATTAATATTTAAAGTTATTTTTAGTAGATAAAAAGGTTATTATTTAGTTAATTAGGCTAAGCTAGTAAGCAATTTATAATTAATATGTTTTAGAATAGACAAAAGGTTATTATCCTATTAATTAGGCTTAGGTAGTAAGTAATCTATAATTAATATGTGTAGAATAGATAGAAGGTTATTGTCTAGTTAATTAGGCTTAAGTAGTAAGCAATCTGTAATTAACATGTTTTAGAATAGATAGAAGGTAATTGTCCTGTTAATTAAGCTTAGCTAGTAAGCAATCTATAATTAATATGTGTTAAAGTTTATAGAGCCCCCTAAGCTAGATGTAAAAGCTAAATGTGCAGTAGTAACTATAGTACTAGTCTAGAGCGCAACTCTAGGCTTATAACTCTTACATAAGCTAAAAAGGGGTTATATAGGAAGCAAGTTAACAAGGTAGTAAGATTTACATAAAGTAGATTAAACAAGTGTATTATAAGGTCTAAGAAGCTTAATAGAGCTCTAGGCTAACTATATACTGTACAAGAGAGGAGCTATGCCTAATGAGTGAATAGTGTAGTACATGTGTATGATATCGCGTGAGACACGTGCGACAGAATCAAGCTTCTATTATCCCTTGCGCTGCTTGGATGTTTTCTAAACATTTAACTACAGAAGCTTTCAGCCCCATTCCTAACCCTTGGAGCTTACAACTTCTTAAAGCCCATCTTCCTTTGTACCGGTTTCGTTCCCTCAGAAGCATATACTGGAGGAATCCGCCATATATCCGGCACCATTGCTGGTCTCGGCATGAGAAATTGTGATCTCATTTAAAGCCACTACTTTTATGATCTACGCGTGTTTTTTAGACCGATACCTCTCTGTTTGAACATCTTTCCGATAACTCACAAAGCTAGGCTACCCCTAGGTGCAGCCGACATTCTCTGGAGCTTGTGGCCCTATCCTCTTGAATCGGCTGCATCCCTAAAAACTCATACTAAAAACCTGCTCGGTCTGCCCCCTAGGACCGCCGATACCCTAGGGGTCCATATTTGATGGGACGGCTAACAAAGCACAGTTCTATTTCATATTCAAACCTTAGTGGCAGCGACCCTGCTTCCCGTAAACTTTACCTATCTCCGTGCCAGCTTCTCTTCCTATCAAGCATGTTCTAAAAACCTGGGGGCCTCTACGATGCATCGCCTAATTAACCTTGAGGTTAGCGTTCCAGACACTATATAAATTACATAGCTGTTAAGGCCCTTAGTAGACTGACAATACATGACTCCTCTCATAACTCGTCCCCCCTTACCTCCCTTGAAAGGCTATATGCCCAACGGACAAAATGGTTGCACAACCTCTACATCCTATAGTAGGACGAGCACCTCCACCACAAAATGACTCTGCTTCCAGTTTGAGGAATACCACGGAATGTTTCTGCGTGGTGGCTTTAAGGTCGTCAACCTCTCCGTCACAAAACCAGTTCAACGCCCATCCAAGTAGTCGCGCTTCGAGCTTCGAGCGCGACAACGGTTTCATTCCGACAATCTATCATCTTACTGTATATTCATTTCATAGCATCTATATTCAGCTCATGCTTCAGGAGCACTCTCTTACTATGTACGGAAGAATGTAGAGTAGATGAGCAATCGTCAGGCAGGTTGATCAGCAGTCGAGGGTTCTTCACTATAACTTTGGAGGTTATTTCTGCTTCGATTTCGTCGTACGTGCGTTTAAAACTGTTTAGTGAAGGTATATCGGCATTACAGTGACAACTAGTGAAAGATTCGTGCTGTGGTTGGAGCTTGAGGAAGGAAGTCATGTGTTGTGTAGAGGATCAACCGCAGAGGATGAGGTCTACCTGTATGGCCTGTGGCATAACAAGGTGACTTCGGGCTGAACCTTCACTTCCACATGTTCTTCTGCTTGGCCTTGTATCATGCCTTACCTGTAGTTTGGCTTCGTTATCCTAACGCTTGGAGGTGGGAAGGGACCAGGGCGTATAGAAGCTTATATCTCGGCTTCGATGTTTAGAATTAGAGGTTACAGTTCGAGGTTATGGAAATTTACATTCTAGAGATATTTTTGCAATTCATGGCTTCAATGTTAAGTAGATAAGCATTCTCCTTAATAATAATGTTGCATTAAGGCTTTACTTCCCTCTTTAGCAAGCGTTTCATTCGGGTTAGCAATAATACTTAGAAAATGCCGGGTAAATAGCACTAACATAGCTTATTGGGTCAATTTTCTTCACAACGGGACACAAAATACCGTGGCAGAACATCTGATCCCTTTCTGTCCATGACTACAAGAAACTCTCATGTACTTAACTAATCGGCGCATGCAATGGCATCAATTCACCAATTTCCATCCACTTCTGAATTCGCCTAGCAACGCGTCCCTTTGTTTCCAAAAATGCATGTTGCCATGCAAATATGTGCATACTCCCGGCTCCGGTGCCCATCTCGTTAGCTTCACCTCTACTAAGCCTCCAACTTTCCTTCAGCGACTTCGCGGGTGCTGCGACCTTGCCTCCGACATATAATTCAATAGTGTCAGCCCAGGTGTCCATACGACGTTCGACGAATGCGATTTCAGGGTGATCACTATCACTCTCCCTGCCGTCCTTATCGGAGACTGGGAAGGCGTAAGCCTTGTGCGAGGCGAAGAACGAAAGCGCAAGACGATCGTGATCCGCCTCCAAAAGCTTTTTAACATGCGCTTCATTCTCTGTGCACGGTACGCCTGTAGGGCAATTATGTGGCCTGGCCTTGTCTGCAAAGCGCTGCATGTACTCGGCATGACCTCCGTTGATACTATTACCCATGATTACGAGGTGAGGCCGAATGGAATCTGCATCGTTAATAAGCTCCTCTAGGCTAATTTGGTTTAGCGCCCAGGTAACCTTGAGGCCGAGTGGGTGTAGATGGCATGGACATGTCAAGGTCGGAGACCCCATGGTGGCAGTGAAGACATTATAGTGGAAGCCTGCATAAACGATTAGCTGAGTGGCACTGCTGATTTATACTTTGTGACATACCGCTATCATTACAGAAGTGCCGGTCGATTAGTAGCAGTGTGAAGTTCATACTAGCCCACGTTTCTCTTGCGAGAAGATATCCGGGATAGCACGCCATGGAAACGAGACCCTTGTCAGACTGCTGCACACTGCTCATGATAAGTCTGGGATGTGTTAGCAAGCACTCCCACTGTTGTGAAATACTAGCGTTTACTCGCCTTTCCATATCTATAGTCTGAATTGAGCGCTGTGCCAACGAGCGCTGCCACGCGCAGCTCAAATCAGAGAGCCAGGACTGCAGTTCGGCGAGCTCCCTCAGGGTCCTCTGTGGCTTCCCTGGCCGCTTCTTTTTGTCTGTGTAAGGCCGGATGAAACTGTATGACGCTTCTGCAGCATTCTCAGGTGCCAAGCGTGCACCAACTGTGCCGTTGACAATCGAGAAGATCTTATATTTGGATAGGACGTAGCAGAAAACTACAAACCGGGCGACTGTATGGATGCTGAGTGGATCCCATGCCGTCACGAGAGGCACTTCCTGTTCAATGAAGGCTTGGATCCTTGTGCTTGCTTCGGGGGCTGGTTCGATAATTTCGTGCCTAATTTTCCGTCGGCTGGGACAAGGCTCGTCAATTCTTGCTATGCTATGTGGCGGTGTCGTCATGGTGCTTTCTCCGAGATATATCTCAGTGCTTGCAGTTGACGCCGACATTGTATTGTCTGATACAGCTGATACTGTTGATGGGGATTGACGTCCATCAGTCCGAGTTGTGTTAGCGGCTGAAAAATGATGGAAGAGGACAGAAGATCTTTTCAAAGCTTCATTCTCTTTTACGTCGAGGGACTGACGGATGGTGCTGGCCAGGGACGGTGCTTCGGACCCAATCTCCCACCCAAGAACTCTAAGCATATTCTCGGGCGTATCTTCAGTCGTGGAAAGTCCAATCCTATTCGGATGGACCTTGTCTCTAATCAGGTTCATACAAGCGAGCTTGGCGTTCTCATGGACTAGTTGAAGTTTGGTTGTAGACTCATCGATCCAGAGCCGTACGCTTTTCCAGGTATCTGGCATATCTGTGAAGAAGTACCGATGAAGAATGAATATCTCTAGCATCATTCCGGCCCGAAGTTGGCAGCCAGTATCGCCTCCATGAGCATCGAAGGCCATGAATCCTGCCGAATCTGCCCCACTAACAGTGCCTTCGACCAGCCTGCGGAAGAGGTTCAAAGCATCCGCAGCATCAGATGCGGCACGGGCGACGTCGCTCATGAACGGGGCATAATCTGGTTTTCTCCTTGCCCCTGCGGGGTGGTCTGAGGTGGGGAACAAGAGTGAGGTCATGATAAAGACTGAAAGTTGAAGCTATTGTCGACAAGTGTGCGGATAATCTTTTCACTGACTGAGAACTTGGATATATCGGGTTGGACTGACCGTTTCGACCGAGTTATATGTTGCAGATCCCCAGACTCTCTTTAGCTTGAAGATCAACACCTTCCTCTTTGCTCGTGCGTGGTGCTTTCCACATACATCTTTCCTAGTCAAGGCGGGGTCGTGCCACGCAATTATCCTTGCATGGACAGCTGAGGACATTACCGAGACGGCGAGTTTTGAGAGCAGCTATGATAACCGTGTGGTCTAGGCACCATAAAATGTCTCGTAAAAGGCCGATACAACTTCGGGGGTAGTAAGAAGGCCAATGAGGAACCCAACTCCAGGGCTATCAGATCGTATCTCGTGTATGCTATAAGGGATTGACAGGGCATAGATGATGCACTGCCTAAAAGGTCTTACGCAATGGGCCCGGAGTAAGGTTTGAAGAGGTTGTTATTAACTTTCTAGATCTGGATGTCCTATTTCTTTCTGAGGGATCTACGTTTTCAATAATTAATCTAACTATCATAAATACGAACGGACTTCTTCAACAGAATTTTCGTGATCGTCTATGAATTCCTCTCTAGGACAACAGGGGATAATCGCCGGTGAACCTGATAGTACATGTACTACCAGAGCATTAAAAGCTGCTTGGATCAGCCACTTGAAGTAACAGTTGCCTGCTCGCTATCATACGCCAACATTTCCTCTGACGTTATACTCGGGTCTTGCCGATCCCTCCCAACCTCTGACCAAGGTTGTTTTAGAAAAGCTATTGAGAAATTGCCCGAGAGTTCCCTTTGGATAGTTAGAAAAATTATCAGATGAAGAATCCCTCAGCCCCGGCATATCTCACGGCTGCCTGGGTGGGGGTGACGCAAGGACGTCTCATCCACTCCCAGCTCCCACGTTAGTTACAGGACCGGGGTTAGCGAGCTGTAGCCTGGCCGTCGGGTTACGTTGATGCTCTAGCAGCAGCATGCAGCTACTACCCACGTCCAACGCTCTACGAGGTTTTAAATGAAGTTACATCTGAACTTCCCCGAACTCCGCCGTCTTTGCCTACCTTGAATAATAAATTAACTCCTCCCCTCTATCCCTCACAAAAATCAAACAGTTTCCGTTACAAAAAGCACATTTTACTGTCAAACTTCGCTTCAGAACTTGTTATGCAATGATGCCTTCCCACATTGAGCAAATCAATCTTGCTGGCACGATTCCAAAGTCTGCGTACGGCACTTGCCTTGCCGTGGGCCTCATAGTTTTGGCAATCTATGTTTACGACCAATATGTGAGCCACAACACTAAAAATTTCACGATTCAACAAACTAATAGTCATGTTTGGTAGAATTTCCTCCGCTACCAAGTAGCGAAAGTACTGGCCCAGCGTCTTGGATATTTCAAAGATGCCCAAGGCAATCGAATGAAGGAACTCTCCTTCAACTCACGTTTCTTGCGATTCAGCAATGGGTAAGGGGTCTCTTTGTTCTCTCCAGTCTCATTGGACTGAGGCAAGATGTAGACATGAAGTCTCCGAGCAGGGCACTGCCATCGCTGGTGATGAGCCGTACATTACGTGGAATGATGGCAAACCTGAAGTGGTCTTGAGCTGTCCCAACCACGTGAAGGACTTCTATGGGCGGGAGACTAAAGGTGCGCATGTTTCCGGAAAGGGCCGCCATCACCACCTAACTTCCACAGGCCACGCAAAACCGCCCAATATGGGCATGGGGCCGTACTTCGACAGAGTCCTTGGATCTAGCGTCGGCGTCTTGAATGGCGATAAATGGAAGACGATGCGCAAGGTCTTTGATCCACACCTTTCGCACCAAATGGCCATGGATTTGCGATCCACGTTTTCGCGCGAAGTCGCTGCTTGGATGAAAGACCTCCCATCCACAGTTGCTAAATTTGGCAACGGTGTTCCTGGCTCCGAGTTCGTATTGGATGCCTCTACTGCTTGCAGGATCCTGCCCTTCAAGTTAGTTGCATTAATTTTGTATGGAGATGCCCTGTCCGAGGCCGCGTTTGAAGAGCTTCTCCAATTGAATGCATTGCATGAGAAAGTCGTGTTCAAAGCATTCTTTGGGAAGCGAGAAAGGTCCAGGCTATTCGCTTTGCTGCCAAGCCAATCGAAGAGCCAAATGGACGAGTTCGAGAGGGAGTGGCGAGTCTTCAACCTGAAGATGATCCAGACTGCAGAGGCGGTGAGTTTGACAGCGCATGGAAAACGAGCGATCTTTGCTCATTATTATTCTTCTAGGAAGGATTATCATGTCCAGTAGCGAAAATGCATCCATCAGTTCTCAATGGAGCCATAACGGAGCGAGAAGTAAGTGTACTTACCGATCATAGTAAGGAGAAATATCGTGTTGATCAGCCGTGATAGTTCCTCCATACGATTGATGAAATCCTCTTCGCTAATATCGATGTCACTTCCTCGGTTTTAGCCTTTTTGCTCATCAACCTGGCCCGCAACGTCCCTGCACAGACTGACTTGCGAGCCGAGGTCCTTGGCCATACTGCCGATCCCGAGGCATACCTTCAAAAGACGGACACGCTGCTGGAGTTCGCATGCATGGAATCAATAAGGCTATGCCCAGCAGCATGTAAGTTACTCCTAGATGTTGCATTGCGTCTTACTCCTAGTTGATAGAGCTGACACTCTAAACAGGGTTCTCACTCCCTGAGTATGCTACCTCCGACATGACAGTCGGTGGATACAGCATCCCAGCTGGAACGCCCTGTATCATCGACTGGTGGAGATTGAATACTCAGTCACCAGTTTGGAACAGCGGGGGTGTCTCTGGGACGGCATTTTCACCTCAGCGCTTCCAACGGCTGACCCTCCAGGCGTACCGGTGGAGTTTCCTCCGATTCGGGCTCGGGAGTAGGAAATGTATTGGTAAGAATGTATCTGGCATTATTATGAAGACGTTCTTGATGGCAGTCTTGAAGGAGTGGGAGTTGGAGACGGTTGGGGTGACCAAGGGCGACGAGCAGAAGATGGTGGATACGAGGAAGGATCGATTCACCGTCACGCCTGCCCAAAGCGTGCGATTTGTTCCTATTTGAATCAGCCGCTGGGTCATTATGACGTAATGGGATTGGAGTGTATTAGTGTTATTGTTATTAGTTCTGAGTGCGAGCGGGGTTCACCTGACGCAAGCGGGAATAAAAATTGCCAAACTCATTTCCTCGCTCGTTTGATATTTGGATATGTCGGTGCTTCACGAAGGGGGAGCCCCATGGAGTAAGGCAGGACATGGAGAAAAGGTTCCCGAAGGTTTGGTTGGGTCGAGAACCAATGGCCCGACGTTATGCTGTGGGACTTTCAAAACGTGGCCGATGGCACGAGCCACTTCACGGTTGGAGCGTACTCAATGGGTTTGGCTAGTCCCCCCCCCCTGGCTCTCTTACTATGTCCTGTGAAGCTGCGGAATACGGGGCGCTCGACTTCAAGGTTCCACGACGTTAGAATAAGGATGGTGGCCTGCGGACGGTCCGTAGTTCCGATCAGCTTGCGCACTTTTTGTCTGCGGTTGCTTCCGAGAATGATCGCCGAGCACTGCTATTGGAAATGCGCCACCGTTTTCGGCGACTGGCTGTCGGGCCTATGAGGTCGGTTCGAGGGCGTGCTCCCTGGGCTGTGTTTTGCTGGGTGCTCGGGCGACGCACACACACCCTCAGCTGAGCCTCAGCTCACATGCAATATGGGGCATAATAACGCTCCGGACTTTTCGTATTCAGGGCTGTTGTTGTACTACACTCGGGACTTCGCCGTTACACGAAACGGCTCTCGCAACTATCGCTCTCGGCTCGCGTGTTCGTTCGCGCCGAGAGCCTAGCTGCGCTCCGAGCCGGCGACGCTCTGACGCTAAAATTCGACAACAAACGCCATTTCATTTCCTTCCTCATTTCGTATGTAATTATCCATTTCGTTTTCTTCAGTTATTACGGCGCTGTTCCTCTCTCCTGCTTTCTGAGCATTCGGTCGAACATTAAGATACGGGCGCGACATTTCGCGATGCCAAGCCACGAACAAACAGAGCCTGCACACGTGGCGCAACTGCACGAGCATCAACATGCAGAGTCACGTGCGGAAGAAGCGCCACACCCGTCACCGGCAGCCTTCACGCCTCCAGATGGCGGAAGAGACGCTTGGCAGACGGTCATTGCCGGCTGGCTCTGCCAGTTTTGCTCATTTGGCTTCATCAACGCTCTTGGTACCTTCCAGCTCATCTATGAGACCGATATCCTCAAATCCAAATCCTCGTCGTCCATATCATGGATTTTGACTATGCAGCTCTTCCTCATGTTCTTTCTCTCACAGCCCGTTGGCATGATCGTGGACATGTTCGGCCCGCGCGCTATCCTCATGCCGACCTCAATTCTTGCTGTGGTAGGTCTGGTGAGTCTGAGCTTCGCCAAGCAGTACTGGCAGATCTTCTTGGCACAAAGCTTGTGCTTCGGGTTTGGCGCGGCGGGCGTCTTCGTTCCGGGATTGGTAGCTGCGAGCCAATACTTTAAGAGGAAGAGGGCATTTGCAGTGGGAGTCGTCGCGAGTGGCTCCTCTGTCGGTATGTCGAATCTCTGTACTTAGCCAATGGACTGAATAACTAACACGTCCATTATCCAGGCGGTGTGATATTCCCAATTTTCATGGCCCAGCTCTTCAAGAAGATCGGGTTTAGGCCGGCTATGCGATGGACTGCGCTCATGATCGGGGTTCTACTGCTCGTTGCCAACGTCCTCGTCGTACCTCCCATGAAACCGAAAGGCTGGGAGGGACGGAGAACGCTCCTTAGCGTCGCCGTGTTCAAAAAGCCGCCCTACCTCCTTTTCGTCGGGGGCTCTTTCATGTTCTTCTGGGGACTCTTTGGACCTTTCAATTACCTCCCACTCTTCGCAGATCAGACCAAGAGCACATACAACGTAGCCCCATACACCGTCTCCATTCTCAAGTAAGTTTTAACCTCCAGAACCACGCTTTCCTGTAACTATCGCTAATCTCCCCCTCCAGCGCTGCATCCATCTTTGGTAGAGTTCTCCCACCCCTCTACTCTGACCGTGTTGGCCACCTCCGCGTCATATCTGCCTGTGCCTTCCTATCTGGTCTCGCTGTCCTCATCATATGGCTGCCTATCGATTACTACCAATCTCTCGGTGGCCTTGTTGTCTTCGCTCTTTTCTTTGGATTCTTCTCTGGCGCTTTTGTTTCGCTCATTACGCCGTGCCTCGTCGAAGTTGCAGGCGGTCACACGCACGATCTAGGCGCCATGCTCGGAACCTACTTTGCTGTCGTTGCCATTGCGTCGCTCACTGGCTTGCCCATCCAGGGAGCCATTTCCAAGCAGCAAGATTTGATGGGATTAATTGTCTTCTCTGGAGTTACTATGGTGGCTGGTTCTGTGGCACTTGCAATCGCGCTGTTTCTTACCATGCAAGATGAGGGGACCCGGAAAAAAGGATAAGTTCTAAGACGGAGGAACAGCGCCGTAGAAATTTATGAAGCGAAATAAATCCAAGTGATTAACTAGCAATCGGTAAAGGTTCATATTTGCCTCCAGATACTCCATACCGCAGACTGAAGTCTACGTGGAAATTTAGATTGGTGCTCTAAAGATGACAGAGACTGACCAACGATGAAGCCTAGTTAGCAAGGATTGAGTCGCGACTGGTGGTAGTAGAGAATGATCCAATAGCTTGCAGAGTTACGGAAGAAGTGATCAGTCTTCTCGACAGAGATCTTGAAACCTCGGCCATGATAAATCACCATGAGCAGCCTCTCTAAATACAATAATCAACTGTGGATTCTACCACTGCACTATAACTTTCCTTGCATATTTCTATACGTGATGTGTCTTTTCCTGTAAACGCAACTGAGTGGACGGTACAGTGAATTTCTCTTGTTACGGTCTTCTGGGAGGATTGGGGCACTGGGGCACATTACATAGCCTGGTCTAGGTTGAAAGCATCGCGAGCTGAATAGACATACTTGAAAGTTTATAGTGCATCGGTCCTACAATTCAGGACAAGCCACACCTATCAAACTACCCGTGGGAGGAACAGATAACAATGGCCCCTCGTACTTATGAGTGTGGTCCGGTAATCCTGCCTTTACTAACGTGGAAGACTCGGCTCGCGTTTCACACTTAACGTTCTCATCTGCCATCACATCTCAAGTATATACTCTTAAAAACATGCCTTTCGTTACTACCCTATCCCAATACAAACTACGCCCTACACTCTCCCGCACGCGCCTAACAATTCTCGTTCAATCTGGTTCCTCTTCAAAATCCCTGTCAGGAGCTTCTTTGACTGTACGACGGCTCTTCGGCCAGCTTCTCAGAGTCAGGAAAAATCTTGTTTCCTGTACTGTTCTCTTCGGTATGACAATCAAAGATTCATGGGAGACGCGAAATGGTAAGGAAGAGCACAGGGTCATCGACATGCATGCCCTTGAAAACAGGCCGAAAGGTTACAAGGAGAAAGGAGTCGTATTTGGTGGTATTTTCCGCATTTGCGCCGGTCTATAAGTTCTTTGCATGATGCAAGGGGGTGTGACAGTTCTTCGGAAAGCCTGTTGAGTCATGTACTCGCTCACCTGTATATGTTCATTCACCCCTGTAAAATTTGTCGCAATAACTCCTGCGTTGTGATATATCTATCATAGAATTCCAGGTTATATAGAAGTTCCACCTAGAGGACTCTGGCCATTGCGCGTCGGTGATGAATCCGAAGCTGAGATCAACGATAGTCAGGTCTCGGAGTTTCTGGTCCACTATGGCGGGGTTTGGGACCGAGCAGTTGGGGTTAGCCTCATTTGCGTCCATATCATCGTCATCATTGCCAGGGGACGCAATGCGGTCCGTGGGGAGGTTGGACTTGGGAGCTACGAGCGAGGGGTAATGCGCGTCGCTCAGCCCGGGGTAGCTAGAACCGAGGCTCGACAAAAGGATGGATAGGGGGCGACGAGATGAAGTTGTAAAATCTTCAGGACACAATGTGATACTTGCATGGCTGGTGTGGCAGCTATCAGCGTCGCGATGTGAACTAAGCGGATAAACATCGCACCTAAGGACTCTTCGACCCCCAGCTGGCGCATCAACTCGAAATATAGGAGGAGCCATATATATCTCCCCCTAGTAGAAATTTAGGGTATACTCGAGTTGTCCAACAATAATGGCAGGATGATGGCCAGTTAGATTCGGGGCGAAAATGAAGACACAAGGGGGGCAGATAGTGTAGGAAAATGGCAACATAGTGGGGATGAATTGCCCGATAGGGGGGAAGCTCAGGCCACAGCTAAAGAAGTGGAGGGAAGAGGGGGAAGCGCCGTACACTGAACTTACGGTGTTGAAGGCAAATTATTATATATTTCCTTGGGCACATGAGACGGACACAACTGAACTGGTCGGGAGAGAATGGAAAGGTGGAAAGGTCTGGTGTGTGCTAAAGATAAGATATGCGGAGGCCTCGGGAGTACTTCGGAAGACATAGTTGCTGTTATCAATCGTGATCTGATACAAGCCCCGGGGAGGAGGTTTTCGTTAACTTTCCGGGGGATGCCTGAAGAAGCCACGTTTACCGGCTCGGCCCGATCCGGAGGTGCGGGTGCGGCGAATTTAATTGTGGTTGAGTTAATTGGGCGATCTTATCTCTCCATCTCATACAACCTGTGCCACGCGTCTCGGTCCCATCCTGTTCATTCCACCAGTCCGATCCCACAATTTTCACTTCGGTAGCGTTTCGGTACGATTAGCTTTTTTTCTTTCTCACCACCAGCTTCATGTCTTCTCTCGCCATGGTCTATAAATTCATTTCCTTTTACTCTAGTGAGTCGGAAATGCTGTTTTCTACGTAACGGGGTCCGACCTAATTTTGCTCTATGTACATGGGGCAAACACGAGGTGCAGCACTCGGCGATATTTGGATGGGATTGGTACTGGGTGATGAGGGACACGGGAGGACAGAACGAAGTACATGGCTAGGGCAAATGGCAGGGGCTGGAGAGGGAGAGGGAAAGTGAAGGTGAAGATGAAGGTGAAGCAAGATAGTGACCGCGATGATAAATGGCATGATTGATAATTATCGCGCGTGCGCGGGGTCACAGATTCCACTCCGTCCTTTATGTATTCGTCTCCACAACCTCCACTTTCCTGTACTTTACCTGCCTTTTTCGTGGTGCAGGTTATTCAAACGGTCTACTAGATATCAGATCTCTTTTCGAAATTCCAGGGCCTTTAATACTAATCATTCATGGAGGCCATTATAAAGCAGCACCAAAAAGAGTAGCGTGCACCAGATGCCCCTCTAATCCAAAATTTTAACTTAGAGCACTCGTGCAAAAGACAAATAATTCGAAACCGACAGCATTCCAAGGGCCTAACGAACTGTACGGGTCAGTGACGCTACCATAGTGGCTAGTCTGGCTGTAGGGGCGGGCTGGGCCCGATTGGTTACTGTCGCACGTGTCTCACGTGATACCATACCCATGTACTGCACTATTCACTCATTCGGACTAGCTCCTTTCTCGTACAGTATATAGTCAGCCCAGAGCTCTCTCTCGCTCCTTAGACCTTACAATACACTCGTACAATTCACTCGTACAATTCACCTTGTTTGGATCTCAATACCTTGTCGACTCGCTTACCATATGACCCCTTCTCAGCTCATGCAAGAGCTACCTCATTAAGCAGAACGCTAGTTTTACTAGCTCAATTCAATGTCTTACCACCCAATGATACTGAACTACACTTACTTTAACGCCTCAGGCACCACGTGCCGGCACCTGGGTACCTAAATTTGGTCGACTGCTAATAGATCAACCATCCATGCCGAACACTTCCCTCACAAATAGTTAAGTTATCGTTACTGTTTGTAGGGGGTCCTTCTAGCGAATCATTACGCTTTTTTGGGCAAACAACCCACCCCGCTCATAAACATCGACTACGCAAGCTAAATCCTTGCTAATTCAATTTGTGCATGTCTTTTAGCTGTCGCTTTGCGCATATAGTTGTGCCGATGACCCTATGGATCCGAGAGCCCGTTACACCTCTCCTCCTCCCTGTCTTACAAACGTACGCAAAATCTCACCTGTACAGGACTTAAAATCACTCAGTACTACACTACTATGCCACGTTGACAGTTCTGGGTACGACGACGTTTGGTGTTCACTTCTGCTTGAATTGTGGCTGAATGCATCGTTAGGTGATATCTTTTAACAAGCCAGGTGATGGGTTAACAAGTAAGGCGCTAGGACTGGGGACAGAGACGGCCTTGTATTAGTTAGGCCTTCCAGTGCCTACTTGAAGACTCTTAGGAAAGGTTTAGAGCAGTAAACCTAACTTTTATTAACATATTAAGTCTAGCGTTTTTTTCAAGTTTTCACACCTCTGATTTTGCTCTCTATCTATAGAACTACTTAATAGGGTACTCTTAAGAGTGAAAAGCAGGCTTACTGTAGGCACGATAAACCGACTGATTCTTAAATTTTAGAACATGTTTGTTATAAAGCCGTTGTGGAGATATCAGGTTGTAGTTTTCCCGGTTCTTGGTAGGGTTTCTGCTGCGCGGCTTAACGATCAAACACGTTACTTAAATGAAGTACTGCTTCCTTCGGTACGCAACTCCTTCAGTCTTTATATGGGTCGCAGCGATCGGGCCGACTCTTCTATACTCGTACTAATGTTCACGTTAAGCATATAGCGGGTTGCACTTGCAGCGGCGAGCCTGCAAGTTCTCCAACCTAATACTAACAAAAAAGCTTTAAAAAAGACTCTATCGAATGACCCTTGTTGTGTTTTGCTGCTTCTAAGTGATGACTTTGAGCACTATCGCCTTGTTCCTAACGCCGGCTACTTTCCCGATTCAGAAATCTGTCAGCCATAACTTAAGAACCCTGTAGCCTTTTCTGCGGGGCTAAAATCCTACTAGATCGTGATTCTCAATATAAAAGTCTTGGTAGAAAATTATCACGTCCAACAATTCCAAATGCTGTAATTAATAAACTAATTCGAAGGATTTGCCAAGTCCGATATCGAACGACCCGCCTCCACGTATAAAAGCCCACCGAGAAAGCTAGAATGCGATCAGAATGCCGTTCTATTGTTTCCACCACTGGTCCTGCTTCTCTCAAGTTATGGAAATGCTTTCGAGTCGTCCACTCTTCCGAAACCTTCCTTGGGTAGCTCTACTATCTGCTACATTCACTGCTGCAAGAGACAATGTTGCCAAGAGGAATGACCCAACTGGAACCTCCTTTCCATGCGCAAATTTTTACGACCCTATAGGATGTCTTCGCGGCTCATGGACTCACGGTGGTGGTAAGTAATATGAACTATCGGCTCGATATGAGCGCTGAGCAACCGATACAATGTAGAATGTACGCAAACATCCAAAGACCAATGGCTTGGGTCCATCATGAGCGATATGACTAGTCCGTGAGTTCAGAACGGAGACTATCCTGGCTTGAGAGGGAAGAAGTTTTGGCGCTGACGATCTTATAAAAGGCCGCCTTCTGCCACCTCAACATTTACGGCCACTTCGTTCTGCTCCGAGTACCTGCGCCCCGTGGCAGTCACAATGCCGTACATTTACCGGACCGGTGAAACCACGACGACGACTAGGATTGACATCACCAGCTCTTTCACTGTAACGGACACTACGTACGTACCTACCTGCACACTTCTTCGCCTATTACCATCGCGCACTAATTTCTTATCCCAGCCATCCAACATCAACAATATTCTGCCCAATCCCTTCTCCCAAAATGGAATGTGGATGGCGATCAAATGGAAGTCGACCGGTTGAGCAAGAGCAGGATTGGAGTATCAACCCTTTCACCTCGAGTCCCGAAGAATGCGCACAAGTCTGTCTAACACATCCGAGATGTAGGGCTTACGAAGTTCGACCTCAAGGCAAATTCTGGGCATGCGCAATTTTCAATAAAGGCCTGGGAGAGAATGTCAGCATGTTGATAAATCCGAGCAGAGGAAATGGTCCAGAGGGTTGGTACGATAGAGATTGCGGGCAGCATGCTCCTGTAAGTTCCATTTATTTGATGCTCGTGTGAGGGACACTCTTGGAACTTAGTACCCGGTACGAAATAGAACGGTGAGGGGCCACATACTGCATGGCTAACTCTCGTCACAACGCACACTAGCCCGAATGCAACCTTAAGACGAAATCTGCTCCCACTGGAACCATCATACCACGACTGGCCGAACCCGAAAAATTCCTCCCCCCATTGATAACTCCAGCCACGCGCGTGTATCCCGTAGCAGAAACTCGCCGTCAAGCAGCCGCGCACCACCTCGCCAAACGATACGTATACCCCCTCCCCCCACACCTCGATAACGGTTGGGCGCAAGCCCCGTGGTTTGTTATGGGAGCATGTTCGTGCTTGATTACATCCGCCATGCCAGAATCAACCGCAACGGAACCCGCCACTATCTCTAGATTTACAGAGACTAAGGTAAGTACTAAATGGCCGTCCAAGGCTTTAGCGGGTGATTAAAGAAAGAGCGGTTGATTGAAAATTTTGCTGACGAGTTTTGGGGTGGGATTTATAGACGAGTAGTACGACGTACATTGACAGACGGACCTATACGGAGACGAAACGGGAAACGACGGTGTTTGTGAGCATTAATTGAGTGGAAAGATGGTACACCAGTTAGGCAATGGGGAGTAATTCGTTTGGTAAGGAATATTTCCTTGACAGTGGAAAACTAAGGGGAGATGTTTTTCTTGTCAATGGCCGGCCTGTTTTGTGACGCTATTGTGGGATCTACAACGGATTTCGGAATGGTCTTGTAAGTTGACGTAGAGGCTAGGTAATCCTGTCCTTTAGTCATTAAATTGCTAGAGTCTCCAGTTCTACTAGCCCCACCTATTAAGCTACGTTTACGTAGCGTCTCTTTTACTAGCAACAATGTAATATCCCTAGATGCACGTTTATATCGCTGTTAGATTAAAACGCTTTAATGAAGCTCTTTCTATTCTAGCATGAAATTGAGGTATCTTAGTAAGCTAACGCCATGCTAGATAGGAAGAGTTAAACAAATAGGTGAGTAAGAGGCGGAGGTAGCTGTTGCATTTCTGGCATAGAAACTATCGCACGTGTCTCACGCGATACTATACCCATGTACCGCGCCATTCACTCACTAAGACTAGATCCTTTTTCGTACAGTATATAGTCACCCCAGAGCTCTCTTGAGCTCCTGAGTACAGACAATACACTTCATCAGCCCCTTACATAGCTGCATGCTTACACTACCTCTCTAGTTACAACAGTAGCAGTAAATAAAAGAGATATCTCCAACGTTAGTTAATAGTAGAGTATAATTTAGAGAAATTAAGTTGCTATAGTTGGAGCCTATAAAAACTATATAGGTATGCATGTCTTAGTTTCCTAAGATAGATATTCAACAAAGCGACATGTCTAAGTTATAATAGGCTTTGTAACGAAAGGTATTATTGCTTTAATTGTAACGGCGCAGGCAAGAAAATAGGTCCGAATGCGGTGTGAATCCACTCAGAGGCATATGGGAGTTCGTGGGGACTCACTAACCTGGGAATTCTATCGACACCTATAGGCCTCGTACGATAGGATATCAGAAAACTGCCAAGCTAGCTAAGGGGAGAGGTGCAGCTAAATACTTGGAGATAGGGGTAGCGCAGGGGGCAGGGTCGGGGCAGATACGCGGTACCTTCGGATGTAGGTTCGTCAGGTAACTTTGAATGGAACGATTCATACGAATCGTTACATTAATGAACGTAGCAACTTCTTTAGTAGCTTTACTTACTACATACACTATATAGCCCTTTGGACTCTCAGTCTGGAATACATTATCGCACGGTTAGAGTTGATAGTTGATAGATGATAGAGGGCATGAAGAGAAGTGCGAGTCGTCAATCAGGTGGCAAGGACCAAACTAGATGGATTGAGCCAAGGTGCAAGGTCCGAGGAACTTGAGAGGGCTCTGAGCGAACTATATAGTGAAGGACCAAAAGGAGGCTAGTCTCAATAAGGAAAGACTCTAGTACTAAAAGAGCGACTACTGCTGGGCTGACTCATGTTGAGGTGAAACACTCGTCATGTGACGTAGTTTCACCCGCTCCAATTATCACGTGCGACATACATGACTCCTCTCATAACCCATGCCCACTGCAGGGCTACAAAAAGGCCTCACGTGGTCCTGGTATTATTTCATTCTGGACATCCCAAACCCAACACACTTTTCTTCTGCTTCCTCCCCTATCGAGTGGAGCTTTTACCACCCTACTACCCTGCTAATGCTACCATACTACGCCATTCCTAAGCGTTTGCGAAGGCAAGTGTATTCACGCAATGCGCTCGATACCCTGTCTGTGCTAAGGGAAACCCAGTTGTCATCTATGGATTAACCCTCTGTTTGGGCTCTCTAGACCTGCAAGGAAAGCAAGCACAATAATCAACCCTAACTATCGTACCGCAGATGAAGATGTCTTAATCTAAGTGGTGAGTGCGATGATTAAATTTTCGAGGCGCCTCGACATCATCATGTGGATACTGAATGTAAGGGGACCACAGCGGAAAATCCGGACGCGCTTAACCATCAGGCTTATACCGCAAGTTTCTGCTCTGACGAAGACAAAAGTGTCAGCCGCATTTCTTGGTCAGGGCTTTTGCCCTGTTCACGAAGTCGCATTGCGCATCAGCCGACCGCGGTGATGAGCACCCGTTTCCCCTTCACTCGCAGTACGGCAAAGCTTCGCCAGCAACTCAGAAGATGATGTTGAGTCAGCGTCTCTGGATGACGGAGAGTGGACGCTTGGCCACCGGCGGCTACATGAAACCGGGCCACTCGATCTGGTTCTCCAGTATGCATGAACCCAGTACTCTACGATCAGCTTCGGGCCACACATACACTTTACAAGGCGGGCGCTTCTCAGAAGATTTCACGGATCCGTAGGCGAGAGACGTAGTTTATTAGAAGTAGGATGAATCTCATGAGTTCCACATCTTATAGTTTTTAGAATCTAGTACTTATAGTAGCATGATAATCATACGCTGCTGCAGTGAAACTTGATGGAACTATCCTTCTGGATGAACGTTGCAATCTCCAAAGCGTATGTGTTGGAACAGCTGGATTATAATTGCCAATATCGCTATCTCGGGATGGAACGTGTCCAACATACTGGACCGATAAAAGGAAAGGTTAATGAGAGTCTGTGATCCCCCTTCAGAACGAACAAATTATTCGTTCTTTCCACGTCTCCTCCCCGAGACAATCCACGGAGCTACTATGCTCCTAAGAAATAGTCAGCTTCTCTTCAGCCATCATGACATAAGGGCTTACCGTATCGAATCCCCAGACTTATCAACCAGCATACGAAGCAATTGCATTCGCAGACGCACCAGAGAAATGATAGCAGTTTCCAAGTTTGAAGTTGTTCGTCGTGGAATCCACATAGCCTTGCGCAATGGCCCCAGGAAGGCTCCCGCAGTTATCGGGTGCGAAGAAGTACGCGTACTGATGATTACCCCCCCAGACCGTGATCTTGAACGACCGGAAACCATCAGGCCAAGTAGCGCAGGTGTTGTCCCAGATGTTGACTCCTGTTTGGACGACACTGCCGCAGTTGGTGTCGCTGAAGGTGTCAATCACGAAGGCTGATCCACTGGCAGTGAGACCACCCATGATGGCGACGGTAGAAGTGATGGAGAAACGCATCTTGAAGAGGGGAGAGATTCTTGAGGCTGGAATGATAGAGTGGAAAGGTGAAAGACGAGGCTCGATTTGCTGGAGTATCTTCAGCTAATGATTTGTGCGGATGGAGAGCGGCGGAAGAAGGGGTTTATATACTTGAGTTGCAGTGGCATTCGTCAAAGTTGGCTTTACTTCCCTCAAAGGATTTCCCGTTTTCGTGTTTGTTACGGCCGTTGAGTAAATGACGGTTGCAAGTTAAGAATGATTGATCTCCTGCAGGATTCATCGATTCTATTTTAATACATGAGAGGATTTCCAATTCTCGTGTTCATTGAGTCTTACATAGACACAAGCAATCTTCCGCTCCGACTCTACGTGTGAACTACGACCCGAGTGGATTCGGCCTTATTCGTCGGCTCCTTGTACTCTCCGGTAACTATTCAATCCGTACACTGGGTAAGTCACAGCATAGGATAGCCCTTAGTAGAAAAAGGACTTCAAGGATATCCGCGCACCGCGTTCGCTTGTGAGGGGCGAGAAGAACAATCGTGCTGAACCCTGATCTAACTGTTTGGACTTCGTGTGTCATAAGAGGTTAAAAAAAACGCACAGGCTAACTACATGACAGCATATAGCACAGTCAGCGAGAATAGCAGATTCATGCGTTAGCAAGTACGGACTCGCCCTACGCAAGGAGGGTGGTGGTCGACGATCGAAGGGGGGGGGCAGACAATCGGCGGTTTCATTCAAAGTGACATGGGTCCTTGGAAGGCCGAAAGAAACGCATGACTGAGTTGCCGGTGATTCTTGCTGTAAGCCCCCTACCTACGTTCACGAACTCGTTTTGTCTGACATGTTTTAGTCAACCCAATTGAGATCCTCGACAAATACCCCCACGCCCTGATCAAAAACGCAAAAAACACAGTTTCGATCAAATCAACGATAGTGGCGGTAAATATAAGCTCCGACGTCGGACAGAATCTCATTCTGCCTCTACACTCTAGGCGCAGGCGGCGAACTGTACATCAACCAGGAGTATGCATATCTTGTGATTCAATTCGATGCAGATATGCCCTTTAGCGATTATAGCTTCTTTACGTCTTAATTCTGGGTGGCGAAGACGCCACGGCTTCCTTGTTTGCGTGCCACGTGTGTCTTCGTGAAGGTGGATGGGGGGCCAGTGGGGGAGACGGCCACTGCAAATTCAACTAGCCGCATCCTTATACGACATGTCAAGCGCATGGACCACGGTCACTGTGATAGGTGGGCAAACCGTGCAATAAGTGATACTATACTAATTTTCAACGGCAATGTAACCATTCATTCAGTGAGTGATCACCGCCACCCTACTTCTTTGGGCCTGGTTTGAACACTCTCTCGCCTCACATTGTCACAGTGACGGGCAATAAAACCAAACATCGAAATGTTTTGACACTGGCTTATACATAGGATCATCCGGAGGAATGGATTCTCTTTCGCGCGAAAAACCTCTCCTTGACCACAAATGTCAGTTGAGGTGATTATATGAGCCTCTCGTCATTCTACACACGCGGGGAAGTACGAGCGGAGGGCACACGGGTGCTGCGCGTTTCTTCAAGCATGTGTATCTTATCTATGTTAGAAAGATCTACGACGCAGACTCATTAACAAGAGTGCATATTAACGTAAAAAAGTAGAGGACATAGCAATATAGGATACCTCTATATACATTTTGAAACCCTGAAAGTTAAGGAATATAGAAGATATCTGAAGTTTGTCCAGCAACTTATCTTGAATAGCTTGCTAAAAGAGAATACAATAATAGTATGTCTAGGAGTACAGCTCTTGGCGTATTTTTAATAGTGACTTGCTTTTATTACTAATATTTATTATTTAGTAAAATGAATCTACGCGATGATGGTTCAGGTATCCATAGTGTGTATTGCCGGAAGACGGGTATTGCCATATTAGGTTGGTAGAGTACTTGTAATCCTACAAGGATAGGGGCGAGAACGAGAACGAGAACGAGAACGAGAACGAGAACGAGAACGAGAACGGGAACGGGAACGAGAACGAAATCGAAAAGTAAGAACGAAATCGAAAAGTAAGAACAAGTAAGAATGAGTATAGATGGATTCGCCTAATGCCGCTACCACTACTTCTAATCGAAGTATACTTATACAATTAGTAAAGCTTGATATGAAATGCAGAATTGAAGCAAATAGTTATGTTCGTGAAGATTCTCGACTCTGCCATTGGTTTTTTATGTCTCGTACATTAATCACGGCACTAAAGAACGGCCTTCATAGTATTCCCTATCCCAAGAACATTTGGTGCCGTTTAGAAAACTACCATCCTCCGAAAACATGGAGGCATCCACGCCTTTTCTCTCGACAAATGTTCAGAAAACAGCGCCTTAAACAATGATGCTCAAAACAATCCTAAGCTTTTCTCGTTTAAGCCAACTTGTCGTCGACACCATCTTGACATCCTCTCCCAATCCTCACCATACCCGATAAGCGTAGCGGAGAGCTCTTGGACAAGCCTCGAACCAGAATATTTTTTCCACCACATATCATCCGTGGTGTACAGAAGTACGCCCCAATGCATGAAGATCATCATAGCAATGGGTTCGCCTCTTCGTAGCGCATTTAGGAAGTCGGAATCAACTTTAATCATCCAGAAAAGTGCGCAAGTTTCCCTATTAGAAACTTTTTCCAGGCCTTGTATCGCATTCTCCAAAGTTTGGTGCGTATTGCTGCCGCGACTGATCTCTGTGTTCATCAGTTGCCGCAAGTCTGCCGCGGGAGCCCATTCTCCAATGAAGGATGACTTTGGCTCAACGACACCGAAAAACCTATGGAGCGGACCCTGCTCGATCCAATGGCGAGTAAGTCCGACAATAGATGAGACGCCATTCATGAATTCGACTAGCAGTAGTACAGTTTCTGAGGTAGGCTTGACTTGCTCACTATCCACAGTGGGCAGAAGGGGTGATACAATAGCGCAAACCATTATTAAGACGGAGCATATGAACACGGCATCGCAATTCGACTGTGAGATATGGCTAAGAGTCGTCCGGAGACCTAAAACGCTCTGATTTTGGTGTTGAAGGGCTGCGCTAACCAATGGTCGCATTGCCCTAGGATCTTCCATTGCGCTTGCCAGGTGAAGTAATGTCATAGCGAATATGGCTTCCATGAGATAATCATGCCGAAGAGCTTCTTTCCCCACATGCTCTCGAAAAATTTCAGATCCTTTCCGTGTAAAGCTGTGGCACGTCCATGTGCACCAGTAATGCATAAGCGCTACATTCGTGATTGCGATTGGCTCCTGGAGTGATGGAGTCGGGCCAGGTACTGCGTATGGGCTAAAGGCAGGGTTAACAGACACGTCGGTGGACGTGGGTGTTACCGCGGAAGTCGGCCCCCACGATTCGGGCGAATCGTTTTCGTTCATAGCATCGAACTTCTCGAGGGGTTGGCGAGAAAAATTGCACTCGTCGCCTCGGTTGGAGCAATTCGTGCATCGAAGTGCCTTTTCATCGCATTTTACGCGTCGCTTTCGACATTGGTCACATCCGAATCGCGATTTGTGATGCGGACGCTTTTTCGGCATGGCCAAGGACGAGTTGGCCCGTTTAGCGAGAACGAGAGAACTAACGAGAACGAGCGAGCAAACGAGAACGAGTGAGCAAACGAGAACGATTTCAGTGGATTATAGCATGGGAATTGCAATGAATGTATACCCCTTCTACACTCCTTCTTATTTTCATGCCTAGAAATTCAGACATGCTCAGCCTCGAGCTGGTGACGTGTCGCCAAGATCATAGTAAGCGCAATTATCTTGGTATTGGGAACATTTCCTAACATGGCAATAGATGAGAAGGGGAAAGGGGGAACCTCTTCGTAGCAACGCAATCAGGTGTAGAGTGAAAGGATTATGAAGTCATTGAAGGATGGTGGGTGTTTCCAATTATCGTGTGATCGACCCACGGTGACACCGATAGAAGGAATTGGGTTGATAAGATAAACCGAGTGCAAATTCGGAAGGAATACAGCTGTTGGCTAGTACACTAGCAGTTTCTCTTTATGGGATGAGTTCAACACTCTACCATCCATTTCGGTACAAATTGAGAACGGAAATAAGAAGTTCATTCTGTTAGCAGAACTGCATTTCATAAAAACTTCTGCCGAAGCGGGTTCCTAAAAATTGGGACAAGGGCTGCCGACAATTGCGATGAACGGCGTTAGATTCCTCAGGTTTGCTCGGATCACAACTCGCAACATTCTCCTGACCTTGTGGACAGTAAGATTTTGTGGCGAGTTAACGTGGCAATCAGCCTGTGACCCGTGCTCATGATCTAGAGCATGGCTCCGAGATCAATTAATAGGTGCAAACTAGACATCAGCTCTTGCAGTGGAATTGCTATATAAGGTGCCTATCTCTCTCAAAAAAGATTGTCATTAACTCGACTCGAACTTCTCCCGCCTCCATTGTTTACCAGTGTTTGAAGCGGAGCCTCCAAGATGCTTTTCCGGAGAACTCTTGTATCTTTGAATCTTTTATGTGTATGGGGCATGACCAATGCTTCACCACACAACACCAAGAGAACTGGTCATTGGGTCAACCTAGCCAAACTCCCCCATCATCGTCAGGAGCATGGCACCGTTCCAATCGATGACAACACGATCGCTCTCATCGGTGGTGTCTTCCGCCTTGGCGACGGAGACGTACAAGAAGGTCTCCTAACAACGGATGTGGTAGAGGTGTACGACATACCTTCTGATACCTGGAAAACAAAGGCTCCGACTCCGTACAAAGTTAACCACCCCAATGTTGCAACTGTAAACGGAAAAATTTACCTCCTTGGAGGACTTGTCGATGCACAGGATCCCCCCTTGCCCTATCCAGATTGGATTCCTTCCGGAGAGTGCCACGTTTATGATACCGTAAAAGATGTATGGAGCCCATTGGAGCCCATGGAGAAGGGAACAGAGAGGGGCAGTGCCATACTAGGTGTGCATGGAGAGATGATTTATGTCGCTGGCGGAATGACTTTTCTTATTCCCGATGATCAGGACTCTCTTACCACTGTCACCGCATTTAATACCACCTCTGGAAAATGGCAAAAACTGCCGGATATTGCATCGAATATACCAGAAGGTCGTCAACACGGTGTTGGGGCTGTCGTTGGGCATAACTTCTACGTCGTTGGTGGGAGATATATGAAGAAACAGAATGTCCGCGGTACAGTCTTCATCCTTGATCTAAATAACCAACAAGCTGGATGGAAAATAAGCGAAGGGGAAATGCCAGTACCTCGGGGTGGTTTATCTGGAGCTGTGCTTGGAAAGAAGTTCTACACCTTTGGTGGCGAGGCCAACCCTAACGCTACGGACGGGATCTTTAATGAGACCGAAGTATTCGATATAACGACAGAGAAATGGTCTCAGAAAAAGGCTATGGCGGTTCCTCGTCACGGTTTAAGCGCTGTTGCTATAGGAAATAAAGTTTATCTTCCAGGTGGTGGCCTTCAGGAAGATGGATTGTCGGTTTGGGTCGACGGTAAGGAACATCTTCTTCGAACTACGGATCATTTTGATGCGTATGTTGTGTAAGGCAGACATCTAATTGGGGCGGTCAATTTGAGAAGGATTACCACAAGACTACTATCCTTGCATGTTTGTTGTATAAGCCACGACTTTACCAACGTTCATTCTTTCTGTAACTACATGATTCCTATAGTTAATTCCGCTGGTTAATGCTAATAATGGGTTTTGTACTGTCGAGTCCCTCTACGATGTATATCTACAAGAGTTCAATTACTACAATCTATAGTACTTGTTTTAAACCAATTCGCATTCATATTAGGCTTAGAATAGAGAGGTATATTAGTTTAGACGTGTAAATATATTAACAATAACAGTAAAAGAGAGTAAAAGCTCGCGATGAACAATAAAAACAGTGACACACAGGTATCTTTAAAAATATGTATAGTCTATTGTCGCATACAGCTATCCGTCTATATATACCCTTCTGCTGTGCTAGCTAGGAGGTTGACCTTTTAGCAAACGCAACACTTTTAGAACATAGTAATATAGCTAACTAACAAGAATTAACTAATCTAAAGCATATACTTAACTTAGATTTATAAGCATTTTTTATACTTAAAGTTATAGAAGATATAGTTAATAAACTACAAAAGTTTTATAGTCTAAGCTATATTAGGCTATATTAGTGTAAACTAGCATAGGAACTTTATTAAAATATTATAAAATTTAAAAACAATTTTTTTTATAAATGTAACTATGTAAAAACCTAATAAAAATTCTATATTTATATAAAGTAGCTTACACTTATATGTAACTCTATTACTAAGTATAAAATTTATAAAATTAAGAAATAACGTTTTAAATAAGTATTATATTTACTTATAAAGTTATTATAGCATTTAGCAAGTTTTATAAACTAAAATTTAATTTAATTAAGTAATTTTACATAGGCTATAGTTATTAAATGTATTTAGAAAATTTAAAAAGTAAATAAACCTACATTACACTTTAAAGTATTAAAAGTTATTAGATTTAAAATAAAACCCTTTTATAGTTATAAATAAAGTAAATTTATGTTAGCTATTAAATAAAAAGTAAAATATAAAAGAAATAGGCTAGAATAGTATTGTCAGATTAAAGCACTGTTTCTAGGCTTCCTGAGATGAATGATGGGTTTGGATATGATGTATGGGATGATTTATTGATTGTATTGATTGTGTTGATTTATCGATCCTTTTTTCTGCTCTACTCGTGTTGCTCGGCTTTTTGTTCTGCCGATCCGAGTCCCTCGCGCACTAGCCCTATGCGCGACCAGCTTGCAACATGCTACAATTTGCTGCAAAATGCTGTAACATGCTGCAATTTGCTGCAATTTGCTGCAACATGCTGTAAAATGCTGCAATTTGCTGCAACATGCTGCAAAATGCTGCAATTTGCTGCAACATGCTGCAAAATGCTGCAATTTGCTGCAACATGCTGCAAAATGCTGCAATTTGCTGCAACATGCTGCAAAATGCTGCAAAATGCAGCAATTTGCAGCAACATACTGTTCGAGCTTATTGCTCGTACTATGTAGCAGCTTTCGTCAAACGTTCCTCCTGTCTTGACAGTAGGTGCGCATATCTGACAAGTATAGACTTATTTACTGCACTATTAAGTTAACAATACTATAGCTTCTACTACTAGTAAAGTTACTAAGTTAAAATTTATATTATTTATAAAGTAAATTATCGCATACAACTATCCACCTCTATATATATACTTCTGCTGTGCTAGTTGGAGAGGTTAACCTTTTAGCAAACGCAACATAAATATTATAGATTAGATGTTATTTATTATTTAATTAATTTAAAAAATCTACAATTACTAAGCTAAACAAATTACTAAGCTTAAGAAAATCTCTTAGCATAACTAATATTATAAATAAAAACATAATTTTATTTATAAATAAGTAAGAAGCTTGTGTATAACATGCTTATATTTAATTTCCTTTATTTTTTTAATATATACAACTGTTGTACTTAGTCTTCTTATAGTTCTTATAGCGCTATTAATCTAGTAAAGCGAGTTTGGTATAATTACTAGTACAAGCCTTCTTAGATAATTAAGACACTGTCTACGCTTTAGCAGCTATATAATACCTTTATACTATGTTTTATTATTTTTCCTTACTAAATTTACTTTCTTTACACTTTTTATACTTAGTTAGCTTTGCATTTTAAGCTTTTTTAAGATTAGTTTTTATAAGTATATTTTTATAGCATTAGCTTAGCTTTGTTAATTAGCTATAAGAAACTCTTTTATACTAAAGATAGTAATTATAGAAAAATACTATATAAATATAAGAGGTAATATAGTTATTTATAGTATTATTAAAATATAAAAACGTTATAGGTGTAGCGATTCGCTTGAATTGTTCTATTTAAAGTTATCTAGCGAACCTTATATCTAAAGGCTCCTTGTATCTGCTCCGACCTGGCTCTGCCCCCTGCTGTACCTCTATTCCCTAAGTATTTAGTCGCACCTCTCCCCTTAGCTAGCTTAGTAGTTTTCTAATATCCTTTTGTACAAGGCCTATAGGTGTTAATAGCATTCCTAGGTTTCTAAGTCCCCACGCACTTCTATATGCCTCTGAGTGGATTCATACCGCATTTAGACCCATTGTCTTGCCTGTGTTGTTACAATAGGTTTTATAGCTATTAATAATAAGAAGCTAGTACTTACTAACTATAACGTACCTAACAGGTTGGCCGGCCACACAGGTTAGCCAGCCACTTTTGCCAAGCCCCCACTAAACTCTACCTATCTACATAATGCTTTAACAACAACACTAGATTAAATCTTCTAAAGAATATTAGATACAGCTTACTCTTTAAGCTTTTAAATAAAACTTAAAACTTTTCTTATAACACGCTATAGCTATCTATAATGTCTCTTACATAACACTAAGTAATTAACACGCTAGACAGTCTTTTTAAGTAGAATACTAGCTTAAATTAAGAAATCTAACTAAGCTTAAAAAAAAAGTAGTTATTAAGTATATACTTAAGCTTATTACACGCAGATTTCCCTTTAAGCTTATAGCTATAGCTAATATAGCTAATTCCTTACCTGTAAAGCGTAATCTAGGCTAGGTTAGCTTAAACTAGCCTAGTATGTAAGTTAAGCACTACTCTAAGTTTATAATAAAGTTTAATTATAAGTATAATTATAAAAAAGTGCTTTATAAGAATCTAGAGGTTATTTAGGGCTAGTTTTACCTAGTAGCTAACATAAAAGCTAAGTATAGTATCTAAAATAAAGATAAGTATAACTTTAATAAGTTAAGCTTTATAATAGGCTAAATATTAACTAGAGCAGTTATTATAGCTTTAAAGAGATAAAGATAGCTAAAGGTAATATAGTAAAGTAATAAAAAGTAGACAACAGTTATCTAAAGCATTAATATAATAAAGTAGGCTATAAGATTATAAAGCTTTAAGCAGCAAATACAGCTACTACATAACATAAATTATATAAAAAGAAGTAGATTTAGGCAGAAAAGACTTTAATAGTTAAAAATAAAGCTTATCTAACTGCTCTAAAGGAGTTTAGAGCGTGTAGTAATAAAAAGAAGCTAAAGACGCAGGTGCACACTAAAGAAGGTAAGCTAAGTTAAAGGTAATATAAGCAGTGTAATTAGACTAGGCATAACTTGCGTATGTGTAAGTAAGTAGTAGAAGTAGACTCTAAATAATATCTTATATTATATTACTCTATACAAGGCTAAAGTGGGCTGTTTTGTGAGAGAATAGGGTGGTTTTAGTAGGGGCTTAGCAAAAGTGGCCGGCTAACCCGTGTGGCCGGCCAACCTGTTAGGTACGTTATATATTTTTAGTATAGACATTAAAGGACTTTAGCTACTAGAAACTAAGCTTATTTATTATCTAACTAGTTCTAAAGATTGTACTAACTTAGTTCTAAAGTATAAAGTTTTTTTAAGCTAAGTAGAGAGGTAGTAGTAGCTTTAAAAATACTAAAAAGTAAAATAGCTTATTATATAGTATTAATATTTTAAAAAGAATAACCTACATAAAATTACTATACTAAACTAACTTTAGCTATCTATACTACTTTAGTTAAAACGTAACTTATTATAAAGCTAATTTTATTAAAGCTATATATGTTTTTATTCTAAAAGCTACAATTAGATTCTATTGTAGCTACTAGCTAGAACTAGTTTTAGATAACTTCTAGATTATATAAAAGCTTTGTTTATTATTATACTTATAATTAAATTTAACTTAAAGGCTAACTTAGCACTTAATAAACATACTTAAGTAGCTTTAAGCTGCTAAAAATATATAAATTACTTTATAACATGCTATAGTCTTTTATAATATCTTTTATATAACACTAAGAAATCAACGAGCAAGGTAGCCTTTATAAGCAGATTACACACTTAAATTAAAATAGCTAGATAGAACTAAAAACAGTAATTATTTAGTATATACTTAACTAAACTATGTACGAATTTTAATTTAGTATATAGCTATTACTAATGTCACGATTGTGCACGAGTAAGGTTATAGAGCTTTACAGAGGTCTAGTTTAATTACTATGTAAGGTATTATAGTAGGTACAAGACGTTGTGTAAGGAACAAGAAGGTTTAGAAAAAAATTAGTAATTAAATACTTAGCTTAAAAGTCTAAGCGCTTTAGGTATAAATTAAGCCTGTTTTAAGTTTAGTTAGTGTTAAAGTAGTTTATGCTTAAGTTTATGTCTATATTATGTTATATTTATATTAGACGTGCACTAATAATACTCTAGTACACATCTAATACAGTTATGTCTAGGATTTAGAGAGGATACTGTAACAGTACTCCCCCTCTTATTAGGAAGAGAATCCTTTACATTAGTAGTTCTAGCATTAGGTTGTTTTTATTAAGGTACAGGTTTAGTTTAGATAAGTATTAGGCGTAGAATTAGGTTACTGTAGAGTTTTTTTATAGGGCTTCTATAGGTTCCTATAACAGTTTGTTATATCTAGTCTATTTTATAAAGTATTTATAGATATGTTTTTTTT